TAATCAAGCACCATGCATGCCATGAAGATGATGGAGGATTGGAGGTACATCTCCACCTTTCCTACCCTTGGCACGAGATGAACGTGAGTAGTCAGCTTCACACCTCTGCGGCTTTACCTCCTGGTTAAACAGCACCAGGAACCACTGAATGGGAGGCTAGGTGCACCCCAGCAACATTCAGGACGCTGCAGGAAAGAGAAGAATCTCCTGCCCTGCTGGGAATAGAACCCCACTCCTTGGCCAGTGCACAGCCCTAGTCACTATACCAATTGACTCATACATGATCCATGAGGGTGACTCATATGAACAACCCTCAAAACCAACAAACAAGAATTCATTACTGCTACATTTCAGTGTCCTTCTGTAGAGCGCAATAATTTACAACAGACACTTCTGTAGATCCATGTTCATACAGTGTTTGCCCACTTTGCTCACTTCTGTGGGAGTAAATCAAACACCAGCACCAACAGAATTGACAAACAGCATTTATATATAAATGCCATACTTTAGCAAATGAATCAGGTCATAAGAGCAGCCAAGATGTCTATATAAGGCTAAATTAAATTAATATACAATGAATACAAGGGTGTCTGAATCCAAAGCATAAGGAAAGAGAAGGGTTCAACTGTATCACACAATAAAGTTTACATCACAGTCCCATCCGTCTGATATAGAGAGCTTACTTAATTTCAGCTTCATGCACGCTGGACACTAACAACGACAAAATATGGGGCAAAACCAGCTTTCAATTATTATGAATAATTTGAAACAAGGCCTGATGTGACACCATGTTTGAAACATGTAAGATTTGAGGCTTTCACGGCGGTGACTATGAAGAAAGCAGTCTTCTGGGATTTGGCACCATGTATATGTGGTGTTAACTGACGTTACGTACGAACGTATCGCCTCCATCTTCAGGGTAGAAGAAAAAAATATAAGAAATCTGCAAGCGAAGAGACCGTGAGAACTGGTAAAAGCAGACAGTCTGGAAATAATGCTTACACCACAAATTCTACTGTGTTGACAGAACTGCTCCTATACACACACAGCAACGTCCCTAGTTATAAATATCAGCAATTTTTCATACTTAACAAATAATGAATTAATGTCTACTTAACATGATGAAAGTAAATAGCACAAATTATATTTTTTACACATTTACATAAACACATGAGCTTCATAACTTGTACTCTTCTCCGCGTATAATTAGAATGATCAGGTCAAGGAGGATGAGATGGGCAAGGCATGCAGCGCAAATGGGGGAGAAAAGGAATGGATATAGGATATTGGCAGGAAAGTCAGAAGGAAAGAGCAAGATGTACGTGGGTGGGCAATATTAAAATTAATCTTAGAGAGATAGGATGGTATGGATTGGACTGATCTGGCTCAGGATAGGGACCAGTGGATGTGAGCATGGTAATGAACCTTTGGGCTCCATAACATGCTGGGAAGTTCTTGAGTAGCTGTACAATTGGCAGCTTCTCAAGAAGGGCTCGGCTCCATGAGTGAGGGAGTGAGTGAGTGAGTGAGTGAGATAAATACATGATCAAACCTATATTTAATCACACTGTAGGATTACGCACTAGGTACATTTCCTTTCATTTGGAAATAAACATAGTAAGTATTCAAGGAATGTAATCTATATTTGATTAGGCAACAACTCTCCAAAAATCTTCAATATTTAGTTCGACAGTTTTAGAAACACTGTATAATTAAGGTGAAAATAAATTAAATCCAGGTTAAACACAGACTGAAATGGACTATGAATATACTTCAGAATTCCATTAAAGTGGTATTTTCACTTGGCTCACAAATGCATTAGTGTGGCTCCCAAGAATATTTTCTGTTCCTACAAAGCATCCTCTTAAACTGAATATGTCTATAGTGTACTGGAAGTATAATTTTATGTTATGCACAAGAAAACCATCTATAATAATAAAAGGCAACTGGGCCATGATACTTTAACACCAGTTAACACATTTACTATCAAAGTAAGACTATTCCAGTAATGAACACAAAAAATATAATTCATGGCAAATGCTTCATACCACAAATCCTGCCATTAATATATTCTTAGAATTTTGACTCTGTCACTGTAAGGATTCTTACAGCTTGGCAAGGACAATGTCCCTTTAACTGTACTGGTCACTTGTATCCATAAACCTTCTTCTTTATCCAGCAGATGGACTGGAACTATCAGGGAAAGTACACGTGGACCAGTGAAATGGGCAATTCTAAAAACCAGTTTTATAGTTACAAGGGTGGTGGTAGTGGGGATTGCTTCACCCAACATCCTCTTGTCCACATGATGCTATTTAACCATGGAACAGTGGAGTCATTAAATTCCCATCTTACAAGGTACAGACAATGCAAGAATTAACACCTTGGTAACTCCTTACCCATAAAATCTGTAAAGAAATGGTGACTTAAATGGGTCATGACTATGACTTTATTCACAATCTATGGGCATCCAATGAACCTCACTTTTATCTACTTGAATTTGTGAATAAACAAAATTTTCATTATTGGTCAGAAGAAAACACTTGCTAACTGCAGAGTGACCGGGTAACAATGAGGGGTGAAATTTCATTTCACTGCATTACTGGCCCATAATTTTTTTAAGATGGTAATGGGAAGGAAACTGTGACATCAGGAAGCTATGCCAACATGATTGGGTAGGCCATCTGGTTTCAACTAGATGGCTCAAATTCAGACGTGCCAGGGCGTCAAACGGCACTATATGACTGCCTTCTCATATCGTTTCCAGGAATGCTAACATTCTTTGGCCTCCAACATCCCCAGACCTTCCAGAATGCGACTATTTTTTATGGGGGCACTTAAAAAGCAAAGTGTACACTCACTGCCCATATCACATTGAAGAGCTGAAAGCAATAACTCATGAAAAAATTGCAGGAATTCTTATGGAGCTGCTACACCATGTCATGGGAAACAGGTGGAATGCTTGTGAAGAGATGAAAGTCACTTTAAATGATACCATCTTCAAGAAATAAATGGCATGCTATGTGCTTTACTTGTAATCTGGCAGAAACAATTTCCTCATTTAATTACCGAGTTTTTAAAGTCATCCACTTGGCTACCCCACCTTGTGTATACACTTAAATTGTAACATTCTTTTAAGACTGATTAGTGTAAAATATTAATATACATTGCTGACAAAACACACCAATGAAATGTAGTTGGAATGTTTGCTCAACTGTTAAGGTATTACTATTATTTTAATTAGTGACTATAAAACAAATAACAATTAAATGGAACAGCTTAAGTCAGTGGCATGTGGTGTATAAGCAGTAGAGACAGATGCATCAGTAACTAGTGAGGTGAAGGTAAATTGATGCTGTTTAACCTTATAGTCTCTTGGTATGCTTAGAAAAACAGGTTTCCACCTTAATGAGCAACAATAGAGAAGGAAATCAACCATTTGTTCCACTTGTTGCTACAATGCAATGTGTGTCAGTTAATGGTGAGCAAAAGAGAATGGAATCCAGCCACGTGAGACACATCACATTCACTACACATATGCATAATCCTACCTCATCTGATTTGAAAATTTGTGAACACATGTGGCAACTGCACCGACGTTCTGCTGCCTTACCTGATGAAACACATTTCTGTTTATAAACGAATAAAGTCAGGTTCCTTGATGATATCCAAATGAAAATGTGTGTTTTCAGGATAAGCACCAGGAACCAAAAACTCATTCATGGAATGCTCAGGATAAGATTTTATATAAATGATATCAATATTTCTGAACCCATTCCATGTTCTCCATGACCAAACAGAACAGCGTTCACCCACAGTTTTAGTATAATATCAATAGACATGCTCATCTGACAGATATTAGGCCAATCACAAGAACAGAACTCTTGTTAATGAGATACTTCACACTAATGCATATAATACTTAATTTTCACTTTAAGCTTTAGAATATGTACTTCGGCTTCATGTTTTAATATTATGCATGTTTGCTTAAATAAAGATTATTATGCAAAATAAAGTATTATACACATAATTTTTAGATTACTTAGCATTAAAAACACAGTAGAAAAGTGTGGGATACCATACTATATGATAGAGGCAGTCATCTTTAAATTCATTATGTTTGTGTCAAATGTTATGCATAATTCATTAAATTCTATAAAGACACACAGTTTAAATAACAGCAATAAAATATTTACAACCAACAAGGGCCAATAAATACGGACCAAAACTATACTTTGCAAAGAAATGTACAGCATAAAGTAAAGTCTTATAACAGCAAAGCCACAATAAGCAAAATTTTTGGTATAGCTGCTTGAATCCCATGAGCTTGAACTACCAGATATATTTGGAAAATCTACAAGGCTCACAGAGATCAACAAATATTACTGACATACTTCTAACATATACTAACTAATCAAAACCACAGTCTCCTTCAAGTGCTGGTTGAACATGAGTGAACTATAATTTGCAGGGGCTGACAAATCAAGTTCGTGGTAACATACAGCAAAGAAATTCTAAGACATTAACTAAAAACACTGCTAATTTACTAGGAAAGTAAAACAAACTTTAAATGGTGTGGATTGATGTCTCTTCATTCTTCATCAAGATATGTACAAGCTCATAGTTTAAAATGAAAGTTATGGTTGGAATGTAACACGAAACTTAGGAAAATTAATTCCAATGGTTTCAATACATGATATGCAGAACACAAGATGCTAGTAATGTAACAGACATATGTGAACAAGTAGTTACTATAGGATTCTGACGATGGTGCATAACACGCAGAGATATTGGGTTTTTGGACTTCATCCATCGTCCTGGGTTTTAAGATAACTAAGAAAAAAACATGACGTTTCGGAAACTGGATCTGTTTCCGTCCTCAGGTGAGGTAAAACACCTATTCTGTTGGGTCCAGTGATTGAGGCTAGCTCTTTCTAAGGGACCCAACAGAATAGGTGTTTTCCTTCACCTGAGGACGGAAACAGATCCAGTTTCCGAAACATCATGTTTTTTTCTCAGTTATCTTAAAAACCAGGACGATGGATAAAGTCCAAAAAACCCAATATCTCTATATGTGAACAAGACAGTATGCATACAAGCATTTAAATGTTCCTTCTGCTGAAGTTCAGATTCTTTCTTCAACACCAGACAAATTACAAAAACTACATCACAAAAGTTTTCACTATCTTTTCTTACACATACTTCCAAAAATATGTATTTTTTAAATCTGAAATAAAAAAAAGCACATTCTTCAGTTGAAATGCTGACAACACAAAAAATAATGTGTCCAAACATTCCATTCACAATTTAAATACAAATTAATTATGTGTATAATTAAGAGCTGCATGTACATAACAAAGCATTTCAGTTTCATTTTAGTTCAGGTTATAGTATAGACTGAGTTAGGAGTTTGGTTCTTGGCACCATCAGCTGTATAGCCTTGCTGTCAGCTTCATGCTGGCAACACTGCCTCTAACATTAATCATACTTCCCTAGAGCATCCTGCAGTTTAGCAACAATCTGTAACATGTAAAATATGTGATTAGAATAACATTCTTACTACTTTGCTGTAGCATACTGATTCCTTCTGGTTAAAATTGGAACACACACAAAGAAGAAATGTGTCAAAACATGTTAACACTTGGTGGCCGATAAATTGCACATAAATGTGCTCTACACACTTTCATTAAATACTTCACTGTTTTAACATAACCTCTAGAACACAGAGATTAATGGCTGTGGGTATCCCTTGTGCTCACCACAGGACACCCTCTGCAAAAGTTGGCACAAACTTTGCCTACAAGCAGCAGTTCCTCAGTCAGTATAATTAACCTTGCAGACTAAAAAAAAAAACATATTCACGAGTTGTGNACACAGATTCAAGAGTTGTGTGGCACCTGTACCCTTGGGTCTCTTTGTTCTTACCACAAGACACCCTCAATCTGCAACAGGGGCACTAACTTTGCAGACAAGCAGCAGTCCCTCGGTCGGTATAATTGCCTTACAGACTGAAAAACCACATATTCATGAGTTGTGTAACACCTGTCCCATTGGGTCTCTTTGTGGTTACCACAAGACACCCTCAATCTGCAAAAGTTGGTACTAACTTTGCTGACAAACAGCAGTCCCTCAGTCAGCACAATTCCCTTGCAGATTAAAGAACCACACAGTCACACGTTATGTGACACCTGTTCTGTTGGGCCTCCTTGAAAGACATAGCCTCAATCACTGGACAACCAACCTTACAAAGCACAAAGGTTATAAATACCTGAGACCAGGCTAAGTCCATGAGAGCTAATAAGAAAAATATACATTACAAATTGTTCCAAACATGTACAAGTGTGGAACCAGGATAGATAGAGCTGCAGAAATATATGTCACAAAACCTAATAACCAGGTCCATGGCCCCATGGCATGGAATAGAAAGGAGAACTAGTAAAAAACTAATAGTGTTACCTAGCGTCAACAATGGAGTAAATCACGTCTAACTAATTTAGAACCTAATAGAAATCAATAAAAACATATATCACATCATACAGATCTTCTATGTGAATTGGTGACTTCATTGCTGATAATGGGGATCCAAATGGGAGAAAAGTCCAAACTGGGTTGGCCAAGCATGCCATATCTCCACAACCTGTTACAGGGTTTGCCTTACCTTTACAACTATGTAATGTTGAATGAGATACTGGAAGCATCACTAAGTGACAATATGAACAAGAACGACAACTGCAACTGAGCAACCCAAATCTTCATGAGTACATATTCTTGTGAAAGTGCAAGTCCACAGTGACGTATATAATTTACATACCTTTTGATAGAATGAAATCTGTTCTTTGAGGTAGTTCTGCATAGCTAGTCTGAAGTCAATGGCTCTTTCACTGTGAAAGTGGTTAATCTCTGCAAGGAGTGCATACGAAATCACATCAGTACGCCGTACTACATCTGACAACTGTGATGATTCCATCTTGTGGTCAGCAGCTAACTTTTCGCATTCCCTACGCTTCTGAAGTGAACCCTACAAAAATTAAAAATAAGACTATTTATGACAAGTATTAATATTGTGTACGCATACATGAAGTAATACCACCAATGACAAACTGGGGGAACACTTTAGTTGGTTATTACAAAGAAAGAAATATATTAATAGCTGTGGTAGTTATGTAATTCATATGGAAGTGACTGGTAAGAACGCGAACATATTAAAGAATGAAGAAAGCAGTCTTCTGGGACGTGGCACCGTATAGATGTGGTGTTAACTGACGTTTCGGAGGAACTTTTCGCCTTCATCTTCAGTGTAGAAGGAAAAATAAGAAAATCCACAAATGAAGAGACAGTGAGAACAGGTGCAAGTAGCAAGCAGCGATGGGACAAGTGTGTCAATGTTGGTGGAGGATATGTCGAGATACAAATATTTTTTCTAGGTTTAAATATCACATGTTTTATGTTTTATATCCATCTGTGATCTATTTACTGACTCTCCCACATATACAGGGTGATTCACGAAGTTTTATCGCCACTTAGGGAGGGTATTCCTGAGGTAATTTGGAACAAAAATTAATATACTAATGGTATACAACTCATAATTAAAGAGATACAGTAATTTGAAAACTGGCGAAAAATCTTTTTTTCTTCGAATTTCAGTCAAAACAAATTAGAAATACAATACAAACACTTTTTAAATCGTTAATGTTTTAGGAAAGAAGCATTCTAAAACCAATTTTTTTTTTCAATTTCTTAATTTTGCATTGTGCAACATTTTTCATTGATTTTGTGTTACAAAATTACATTATTTTCAGCATCCCATTCTGTAAACATACCAATGGTTGCATATCACACCCTTCTATCAATCTGTTTCCTTTAAACTGTAGTGCTTTAGAAGACAACTGGATTTACATAAGATTTTCAAAAATGTCTCCCTGCATGTCAACACAATGCGTCGCACGTGTATGAACCGCTCTGCCTCCCTACCTACGTGCAACATTCAAACCGGTCTACCTTATCTGCTGACATAGCTGACTGGAACGTATGGTTGCCCACGCTGAAGCACAGCGCTGCATTCACAATGATGCACTTCGAAAATCTACTGTTACTCCATAACTACTGAAAATCGACCACAAGTTTATAAGGAAATTTTGCAGGAAATAACCCCAGGAATATGTACCATAAGCCGGGGTAAAACTTCGTGAATCACCCTGTATAACACATATCCCTTGTTATGTAATATTCAAAATTGCTCATTTCAAACTTCTTAGGCCCAAAAGGTTTCCTAAGGCCTTTGTTTAAAAACACTTGTAATTTATGTTCTTCCCTCAAGGTAAGATTATGTTTCATACCCATTCCAAACAAATGATAAAACTGCTCTGAAAATCCTGAACTTCAGCATTTTGGAAAATGGATGGGCTAGTAACAGTTACTGGAGAGGAAAAAAATAATAATGTGATGCATTGCACTATGGAGGACATCCCCCCCCCGTGGTGACGTGGCAGAGGAGCGGCTGTGTCAGGCAACCATTGCCGCGGTTACTGCACAGCAGGAAACAACTCTAGACAGCCTTGCCCAGCAACACCTGTAAACAGGCGACGTGGCAACAGGGAAGCAAGGCGCTTTCCGTTGTCTGGCTGTGGGCTTATAAGAGAACTGCACAGCCGCCGGAGTGAGTTAAAATGTAGCACCCACCGAAGACAGTTGAATTGGAACAGTCGCCAAGCTCAGTTGTAGTGAGCGAACTGTGAATGTGGGAAGAAGAACCGGAAACTTGGTTACAAGTTATTATAGTGTGCGATAACTGAGAAGTCAGCCAGTGAAGACATATCATGTGACTTCAAGATTTTGTGTGTACCATAGAACAGTTATCTTGGGAGTGTGTAATTCAGAGAGACTTGGAGACTTGGATAGCTCCCGCGTTATAAATACGTGAAGACTACTGAAGACAGAGTGAATAGATTACTGTGTAGGGTTTATAAAGTGTGTAAACCCGCAGCAGTGTTATAATTAATTGTAGCCAAGACTTATAGGTTGCTAAATAAACCAATGAACAATCTGAACGGCGTCTTCAGTAGCAAGACACGCTACAACAACAATGATAATAATAATAATAATAATAATAAAAGCCATTCCAGACCATACTCTTCCCCTGATATCTCATTTCCATTTGTCTGTGTCACCCCCAGGTACTTGTGTCCTAAATACAGAGAGGAAGCAAACAGGCAGAGGTTTCATGTATTCTTAACCGTGGCATCAGATGGAAATGAGTGGTCAATTTCACATTCTGATGGTCTTCATACAAAGGGACTGAGTTCTTTGTATCAACAGGCAGGAGGCTAGGTGGCACCCAAACTCTTATAACATAACTTTTCTCTAATGAAAATGGGGCTAGACCATGCAATAATTATTAACCCGTAAGTTCAACAGCAGCATAATGGCCCAAACAAGATTACTTCAGATTTAGGTTTCAGTAGATGTCAGTAAAAGTCTCCGATATATGAAGAATGTCAGGGAGCAGACCTCATGCTGGTTAAGATACTGAATCAGTGTAAATGCTCAGGCCTCCATGGTAATGGCTATTCATGTCATGGTCTGCTGGGTTGTGACGCCATGAAGTTGTGTCGGCACAGACTACTGTTTATTCATGTCATGGTCTGCTGGGTTGTGACGCCATGAAGTTGTGTCAGTGCAGACTACTGTTTATTCATGTCGTGGTCTGCTGGGTTGTGACGCCATGAAGTTGTGTCAGTGCAGACTACTGTTTATTCATGTCGTGGTCTGCTGGGTTGTGACGCCATGAAGTTGTGTCAGTGCAGACTACTGTTTATTCATGTCGTGGTCTGCTGGGTTGTGACGCCATGAAGTTGTGTCAGTGCAGACTACTGTTTATTCATGTCGTGGTCTGCTGGGTTGTGACGCCATGAAGTTGTGTCAGTGCAGACTACTGTTTATTCATGTCGTGGTCTGCTGGGTTGTGACGCCATGAAGTTGTGTCAGTGCAGACTACTGTTTATTCATGTCGTGGTCTGCTGGGTTGTGACGCCATGAAGTTGTGTCAGTGCAGACTACTGTTTATTCATGTCGTGGTCTGCTGGGTTGTGACGCCATGAAGTTGTGTCAGTGCAGACTACTGTTTATTCATGTCGTGGTCTGCTGGGTTGTGACGCCATGAAGTTGTGTCAGTGCAGACTACTGTTTATTCATGTCGTGGTCTGCTGGGTTGTGACGCCATGAAGTTGTGTCAGTGCAGACTACTGTTTATTCATGTCGTGGTCTGCTGGGTTGTGACGCCATGAAGTTGTGTCAGTGCAGACTACTGTTTATTCATGTCGTGGTCTGCTGGGTTGTGACGCCATGAAGTTGTGTCAGTGCAGACTACTGTTTATTCATGTCGTGGTCTGCTGGGTTGTGACGCCATGAAGTTGTGTCAGTGCAGACTACTGTTTATTCATGTCGTGGTCTGCTGGGTTGTGACGCCATGAAGTTGTGTCAGTGCAGACTACTGTTTATTCATGTCGTGGTCTGCTGGGTTGTGACGCCATGAAGTTGTGTCAGTGCAGACTACTGTTTATTCATGTCGTGGTCTGCTGGGTTGTGACGCCATGAAGTTGTGTCAGTGCAGACTACTGTTTATTCATGTCGTGGTCTGCTGGGTTGTGACGCCATGAAGTTGTGTCAGTGCAGACTACTGTTTATTCATGTCGTGGTCTGCTGGGTTGTGACGCCATGAAGTTGTGTCAGTGCAGACTACTGTTTATTCATGTCGTGGTCTGCTGGGTTGTGACGCCATGAAGTTGTGTCAGTGCAGACTACTGTTTATTCATGTCGTGGTCTGCTGGGTTGTGACGCCATGAAGTTGTGTCAGTGCAGACTACTGTTTATTCATGTCGTGGTCTGCTGGGTTGTGACGCCATGAAGTTGTGTCAGTGCAGACTACTGTTTATTCATGTCGTGGTCTGCTGGGTTGTGACGCCATGAAGTTGTGTCAGTGCAGACTACTGTTTATTCATGTCGTGGTCTGCTGGGTTGTGACGCCATGAAGTTGTGTCAGTGCAGACTACTGTTTATTCATGTCGTGGTCTGCTGGGTTGTGACGCCATGAAGTTGTGTCAGTGCAGACTACTGTTTATTCATGTCGTGGTCTGCTGGGTTGTGACGCCATGAAGTTGTGTCAGTGCAGACTACTGTTTATTCATGTCGTGGTCTGCTGGGTTGTGACGCCATGAAGTTGTGTCAGTGCAGACTACTGTTTATTCATGTCGTGGTCTGCTGGGTTGTGACGCCATGAAGTTGTGTCAGTGCAGACTACTGTTTATTCATGTCGTGGTCTGCTGGGTTGTGACGCCATGAAGTTGTGTCAGTGCAGACTACTGTTTATTCATGTCGTGGTCTGCTGGGTTGTGACGCCATGAAGTTGTGTCAGTGCAGACTACTGTTTATTCATGTCGTGGTCTGCTGGGTTGTGACGCCATGAAGTTGTGTCAGTGCAGACTACTGTTTATTCATGTCGTGGTCTGCTGGGTTGTGACGCCATGAAGTTGTGTCAGTGCAGACTACTGTTTATTCATGTCGTGGTCTGCTGGGTTGTGACGCCATGAAGTTGTGTCAGTGCAGACTACTGTTTATTCATGTCGTGGTCTGCTGGGTTGTGACGCCATGAAGTTGTGTCAGTGCAGACTACTGTTTATTCATGTCGTGGTCTGCTGGGTTGTGACGCCATGAAGTTGTGTCAGTGCAGACTACTGTTTATTCATGTCGTGGTCTGCTGGGTTGTGACGCCATGAAGTTGTGTCAGTGCAGACTACTGTTTATTCATGTCGTGGTCTGCTGGGTTGTGACACCATGAAGTTGTGTCGGTGCAGACTACTGTTTTGGGACAAAATGCTGCATCCATTTTCAGAGACAAAGTGTGCAGGGAAAGGGACTGGTTCGATTACATACAGGCAGTTTGCAAGTGACGAGGCACCTAAACAGAGTCTGACCCAGGGCCATGGGAGTGGGTAGGAAAGTGCACTCTCATGGGGCACACCATGCTGTTTGCTGTGGGTGGGAAATGATGCCATGATGACATGTTGTCAGTCTAGAGGACTACAATCTGACAATTGAGTGAATGTCTGTCTATGGACCTTTGTGATTTTATTCAGTTTTACCATGTGAATGCCATGACCACCTTACCCTTCATCCCAACCAATGACAAAGAACTTCATTATACAGCATCTGAATCTATGATAAATGATAGGGATGTCAATTGATGTGGAATTATACATGAATATGGATAGTGAATTATTCCTTTGGTTTAGGGTTTATTCAGTTGATCAACCACCTAACTAAATTCCTTCTTNGAGTGAATGTTTGTCTGTGGACCTTTCTGATTTTATTCAGTTTTACCATGTGAATGCCATGACCACCTTACCCTTCATCCCAACCAATGACAAAGAACTTCATTATACAGCATCTGAATCTATGATAAATGATAGGGATGTCAATTGATGTGGAATTATACATGAATATGGATAGTGAATTATTCCTTTGGTTTAGGGTTTATTCAGTTGATCAACCACCTAACTAAATTCCTTCTTAAACACTGTGCTACACAATGCCTCAGGCTTTAATACAAACTGTCATGCTTAAACGTCAACTACAATGGCAAGTTGCACTTCTAACTAAAACTTTTGACATTCTACAAGTAACAGTATCCAGCTGAACATTTTATATTGTTTCTGAAATGTCTCCCACAATTTTTGTAATCGATGAAATTCAGATATCTCAGTACTTGTGATTACTTTCAAATAATTTTACTACATCAAGAAAGGGTGTAATATATCAAAATGCTGGACTCATATTCACACTGAATTATTTCTCATAGTACCATACTGCACTGATTTAGCAGCATTAACTAACGTACCTAATAAATACTTCTGGGTCTCGATTGTGGCATGGATTAAGAGTAAAATATTTCACTTAAACAAGGATAAAACTGTTTTAAGATACACTAATTTCTAAGATCTTACAATATGAACTCTATATGCTACCATCTAACTAAAACTAACTAACTTCATGGAGCTGAACCCTTCTTCAGAGGCTGCCAATTGTGCAGCTACTCAAGAACTTCCCAGCAATTTACGGAACAAAAAAAAGTACATTACTGTGTTCACCAGAGCTCTCCACTGGTCCCTATCCTGAACAACATGGATCCAGTCCCTACAACCCCATCCTATCTCTCTAAGATCCACTTTAATATTAACCACATATGCTACCATCAGAAAATAAAATGGGAATACATTTCACTCACTTTATGTACTGTTAGGATATCAGGAAATGAAGAAATGATGCCTTTATACAAGTGAAGAACATCTGCTAATGGCTCCCAGTCTAACTTAGGCTGTTCTTCAAAGAGTTTTCCAATTTCATGGTATGTATTGCCTGTTACTCTGACAGCCTCCATTAAATTTTGTCTTGCACTCTCTGAAACATAAAAGTGATTATAAGCAACGACAAATACTGGGCATACAGGAAGAGGTTTGTGGGATGTCGATGTTCATTGAGACAACCACCTGAAGCTATAACAAATGTTCGTTGGGTTTAGAACACATATTACAAATGAGTGGGAGTGTGTCTGGAGAATACCGGCGGAGACTCCTTTTGTGGCGACTGGTCCAGTTTCAGGGACATTTGTCAAGCAGTGTCTTCTTGTAGCAACCTGACGTCCTTCTCTAGCTGCAGCGGCAAGTCTGGCTGGCTGGTGAAGTTGCGGTGTGTGCGCCGGTAGAATCAGCTGCCTACAGTGCGTGCACTGGCAGCCAGCTGTCTACTGCAGAGTTACGGCCAGTGGCGATTTCTTGACATCAGCGTAGCTATGATGGCAGTGACTGATGAAAGACTGATTCTGGTGTGCCCGAGGCCCGCAGCTTTATACTTATGTCACTAGGCGGCATGTGGACCAGTTGACGATGAAGCTGCGATGAGCGCTGATTGCATAGCGCTTGTGTTGGTGTCTAGGGAACCAGGCTGCAAGCAATGTATAAATATTGCTGCAATTGTGAGTGCTGATTGGATAGCGCTTGTGTTGGTGTCTAGGGAACCAGGCTGCAAGCAATGTATAAATATTGCTGCAATTGTGAGTGCTGATTGGATAGCGCTTGTGTTGGTGTCTAGGGAACCAGGCTGCAAGCAATGTATAAATATTGCTGCAATTGTGAGTGCTGATTGGATAGCGCTTGTGTTGGTGTCTAGGGAACCAGGCTGCAAGCAATGTATAAATATTGCTGCAATTGTGAGTGCTGATTGGATAGCGCTTGTGTTGGTGTCTAGGGAACCAGGCTGCAAGCAATGTATAAATATTGCTGCAATTGTGAGTGCTGATTGGATAGCGCTTGTGTTGGTGTCTAGGGAACCAGGCTGCAAGCAATGTATAAATATTGCTGCAATTGTGAGTGCTGATTGGATAGCGCTTGTGTTGGTGTCTAGGGAACCAGGCTGCAAGCAATGTATAAATATTGCTGCAATTGTGAGTGCTGATTGGATAGCGCTTGTGTTGGTGTCTAGGGAACCAGGCTGCAAGCAATGTATAAATATTGCTGCAATTGTGAGTGCTGATTGGATAGCGCTTGTGTTGGAGTCCAGAGGGCCAGGCTGCAAGTGATGTATAAATATTGCCTGTTTTCAGTGCACTGCAGGAATTGTCTGTTATGCACTGTGGGAGGTTCCCAAAGTTTCATCCCTTTGTTCGTGCCATCATTACCACCTGTTCTCAGAGTGGTACCCCATCCAGTGAGAAAATAAGATAGTAATACACTACTACGCAAATCTGACTGGATGTCCAATCTATGCATTAAGACATCTTGTTTACCTGTCATAACAGCTGTTGAAAATGGCCTCATTCAAAATACAAGTCATTTCCAAAGATAGAAATCATACATTCAGATCCCAGGGGCTCAACAACATAAATAATGCTGTTACACAAACAAGAGGAACCCGGTTCATTTTCATGAATGTTCATGTGACCAGTTGCCTCTGAGCATTCTTTATGTTAACGGTGGGCCACGCCATAACTCAGGGGGTTAGCTACTGGCTTCCCACCATGGCAGCCCGGGTTTGAACCCGTGTCTGTTCATTGGGATTTGTGGTGGACAAAGTGGAGCTGGGGCAGGTTTTAGCAGAGTACTTCAGTTTCCCCTGCCAATCTTCATTCTACCAACTGTTCCACAATCAGCATCGTCTATCATCTGGGGCTAGTACAATAGGCCAGTAGTGGCCATAGTACCTAGTGGACTCAGTCTCATCCCACTAAGAATAGTGGTGTACAGCCAAAATATATCATACTACTAAACAATTAATGAGAAATAACTGAATATTCTGAGTAGGACAGTGCACCTGACAATACCACAAAAAAATTCAATGCTGTCTGTGCAGGCTGGTTTTGACAAATAGTAATTAGTGGAGAAATAGGGCCATCACATTGCCAGATATGAACATGTCTGCTTTTATATGTGATGAAACTTGGAAGAGGAAGTTCAGAGAAATAATCGATGCTTTACAAACAAAATTCTGCAAGTCCATGATTTATTTAATCCGTCTTGCAGTGCATACACTCATTTATCTTCTTCTCTCCCTCGCACTACATGTTTCGGCATAATAATGCCATCTTCAGGTGCTTACTTATCCACGTCAAACCAGTTCATTGCATGCCATGTTCACACATTAAAATAACTAAAATATGTATCTATCATATACATTGTCAAACGTTAAAAATATTAAAATTGTTCAGGATACCACATCGCTACGTCGCCCCTCACTACGTCAGTCACGCCCATTCTCCTTTGTTGGAGCACTCCTTCACTATCTTGTGTGTTGTGCTTTTGTTGTGAGACACATACCCAGGAAGCCCAACAGTATAACACACGCAGTCGCAGGAGCACGACACAACAAAAGCACAACACACAAGATAGTGAAGGAGTGCTCCAACAAAGGAGAATGGGCGTGACTGACGTAGTCAGGGGCGACGTAGCAATGTGGTATCCTGAACAATTTTAATATTTTAACGTTTGACAATGTATATGATAGATACATATTTTAGTTATTTTAATGTGTGAACATGGCATGCAATGAACTGGTTTGACGTGGATAAGTAAGCACCTGAAGATGGCATTATTATGCCGAAACATGTAGTGCGAGGGAGAGAAGGAGTTAAATGAGTGTATGCACTGCAAGACGGATTAAATAAATCATGGACTTAAATCAGTGCAACAGGACGCTAAAATATAACATTAAAATTCTGCAATTTTATTTTAGAAATCACAGAGGGTGAGTTTAAATGTGTCAAAATCTGCTTGGTTGTTGGCTGACACCTTAATATGGCTACAAACAAAAGAATTAAATTCTCTGTAATTACTTAACCCACACTTTCTCAAATTTTGTATACAAAATAAACAAATTTGTAGCTGCCAGGCACCATTAACATCTTTTTCATGTTACCATCTGTCTTTGTTTCCATAAGCAGAATTAAGTTGCTGGTCTCTGTTGAAGAGAAGTAATGTGTTTCCTGTGAGGTACAAACTGAACTTTAATACACAATTATGAAGAAATTCAGTCTTTCCAGGGTTAATAATAAAACTGGGACATAACATCAGAAGACACAATGAAATATTACACATCCATTCCTGAACGTTTATATACCCTATTTTACAAGAACATGATGAAAGGTGGATGGTTTCTTACTGCACCGAGATCTCTACATGAATCAATGAACAATATGGATCAACAGAGAAGACTACGAAAGACTGGAAAATTAGATCTCTCTTCTATAAGCTGAATAATGCCTGTGCCCAATTTCAGAGGGACAGTTATTTTCAAGCAGCACAGTCCTAAGAAATTAAGCATTCTGGTATAACATGTGTTACAAACGTGCACTTGAGAAAAAACAGTTAAAATACAGCAAAATGACAGCCTCACTGTGCCACAGGGGAAGATCTCAACAAGGCAGTACAAGGGATCTAACTAAATAGCTTCATAATTTCATCATCCTGTTGCAGAAAAATATACCACTGATAATTCTGCCTGACTTTATTTTAACACTGCTGAAAACTGGGCCAAGGGAACACTGCCCTCAATTATCCCCACCTGGAAGATAGTCAACTGTTCCATTCTGAAGATCAATACTTCCAACTTGTGGTATATCTTATGATTAGCATGAAGGAAAAACTACTACCAAATCCCTGTGCTTCAAATATGAAGTCTGCCTCAATATAAACCTGTGCAGTTTTGTATTTACTGTAGAAATGTAAGCATCTAGATCACAGTTCTATCATAACATGGGAAGGAACGCATTTCCAGAAATGTGCCATGCATATTTGAAATGTGACCATAAAATTTTTTGCAGATGAGACTTGTAATTACACTTTACCTAGTATATCTTCTTTCTACAAGTTTCAGGCAGGTTTCTTGCCACAAAGCCATGAAAGGGATAAAATGGACCAATTATATTCCAGCATGCATAATTCAAAGTGAAGGTGTGAAGGTAACAAACATAATCAGATTTCTTATAATTGACGACTACTTAGGGTATACGGTTTCCAAACAACATTTCAAATTTACTCCGCAGTACAGATTACAGTTAAAATAAACTTCTGAACTGTGAAGAATCATTACTCATAATTTACCTGGTGAATCATCTTCCCTGAAAGCCAAACCCAGTGCTGAGAAAGCATGCCCAATCCTCTGGTACTCCCTCTTGTATGGACCTTGATGTTTCTTTGTCTGGTCAACTGCTGTTGCCATTAAGATTTTAATAGCGCCATCCATTTCATGAATGAACTTGGAACATTTTTCTGTTTCCTGTTCACTAAGAGATATCAAAGTTATTTCTCAGTCTTCCAATAAATAATAGCACATAAAACTTGTTAAAATAAAATTAAAAAAATATGAAGCCTTCTGTTTCATATGTTATACATACAGGTCTGTAATATTCTGCGGTCGTTCGGGAGCTTGCAGCGTTATGAAAAAGTTTGCTCCCACTAGTTCGTCTTTTTCTGCTTTCCTCTTGCCAGCTTTCCACCGTTTCTCATCGGTGCAAGTTAAGAAGTGTTGCCAGACCTCACACCGAGAGAGTACTGGATGCCGACAAACAGAGTTAACAAATGCTTGCAGCTGGGCCCGTCGATGTTCTATGAACTGCTCCTCATACCTGCCTGAAAGCAGCGGTGATCAACTCAACATACAAGGATAAAGGGGTCCTATTGTTCCTAGCTGCATTTTTATCTGGCAAATGCACTTAATAACTGTTGCTGTAAGATCACCATGAGGTACGTTTCTCGGTGCACGTGCAGACAACAGTCATTGCTTCTGATAGAGAACCCTTTTTGACCGTGAAGTGCCTGTACATGGCCTTTGAACACAGGATACTAGTTTACAGAAGTTCATATCATATCCCAACCCCACTGTTGGTAAACACCTTCCACATGTAGGTTTGAAGGCCTAATCTTATGTTTATTATTGGTCTTGATGACTTGAGTCTTAAATATATTCCCAGGTTTATTTGTTTTTCTTGGAGTATCATCATGTCACCAAATACTATAAATAAATAATTTTGTTATTATTTTTCTAATGGGGTGAGACTGAGTCCACTTTGCACTGCGGCCACTGTTTGGCCTACTGTACGAGTCCCAGATGATGATAATTGTGGAGCAATCGGTGGAATGCGAACTGCAAGGGGAAACCAAAATACTAGGAGAAAACCTACCCCAGTGCCACCTTGTCCACCAAAAATTCCACATGACCTGACCTGGGCTCAAACCCGGACCGCCACAGTGGGAAGATGGCAACTAAGCACCTCAGCTATGGCATGGCCTATAAATAAACCATTCTGTAACATTATCATAACAAGGTTCGGCTCAGAAAGAATGCTTTGCTACCTTCCTCATGAACCCATGAGATATTACAAGCAACTGAATATTCTACATTTCTTGATTATGTCACGTGCTGCATCAGACATTAATCTTTTGGAGTTACTTCTCAAATAAACAAAGAATTAAGATGGCAGCACTGATTGGAATGGCGTGCAAACCTTAGGTCAGAAATGAACCCACAAAAAAAAACTTAGAGTAAACAGACTTTACACCTGAGAACTGGGAAGGTGAGCAGTGATAAGAGTGGTTTCCAGATGCTACACTGGATTTCAGTGCATGATCAAGTAACCAAACACTGAAACATGGAAACTTTTCTTTATAAAATGAAAATTCATTTTAGTAGAAAACACATAAATTTACAAATATGTCACTTTAGCATAATATCAAATGATGCAAAATACTGAGATTACAGATATCAACATATCAATGTCTGAGATCTCAGGTTCTGATGGTGGTGACGACGAATATTACATTTTCTGGGATGGGATGCCATGTGGCCTTGTACAATGTTATAATTGTTTTTCAGGAATTCTCCTCAGTTTCTCTGTTTTCTTCAGTCTTTACTTTGCCCCACCCCACTACGTGGCCACTAAATCAGCCCACTGGTTCTCCCGACTTCCCCCTACCTCCTTCTGGTTCACTTAGCCATTATTTCTTCTGGGCACTCTGCCCCTTGAGAATGACCTTCATAGGGGTCAAATTTCCCTGTCGTTTCCACTGCTTTCCTTGCTCTTATTGGGTCACTCACAAGCTCAAATCCTGATACTTCATTTCCCTATATAAGCATTGGTCCACACTCAGCTTACTCTTCTACCCTGAAGATGGAGGCAGCAGGGTTCTACAAAATGTTAGCAATATCTTCTACCAGACTACACAACATAACATCCCAGAAGATGGTATGCGCACTGTGTTCGGGATGCTTAAAATTATGAACCTGTACTGTACTTCAAAATTGAATATAGCAGAAGTTCCATACAAAAGGAATTTACCACAAATATAATGACAAGCATATATAATATTGTAATAAAGCATCCTGTTGCATTAACATATCTTTTGTACACATATATTTCTGTCTTAAATGAAGCTTATTTCCTGCTCACCCTTCTTTCTCACTACATGTTACAGATGCAGACGGCCATCATCGGGTCGCTGTCTGTCTTTCTAAAACTGTCGTGATTTATGTCAAAATTATGTATTGCATGTGAATGCAATACTTCCTAATTACAATAAATTAACCTTGAATTAAAATTAAATTAACAACCTAACGTCTTTCCATTGTGGTAGTTGCCTATTCATTTATAAGATATTTGCCTGAGTGTATTTCTCATTGTTGGACTCATTCCTGCTGCATTCCCTTTGTGGGGTAGGTATTACAAATGTTGTTTGTACAGTTTGTGAAACAAGCTGAATTAGGCAATACTGTGTTCACACATGATACATAATTTTGACATATAGTGCAACAATTTTAGCAAGATAGTCGTCATTTACTTTCCATACAGTACGGACAATTCTTCGTAAGATGAGGCATCGACTATACAATTAATTAATTTGCAACATCATGGGCCTCCTATGCATTCTTATATAAAAGAAACATCAAACTTCTAATTGGTAAATGGAAACGTATGAAAAGTAAAAAATCAACGACTGATTCGAAGTTGTATAACATCAATTAAGTTTTATCTTGTTTTATACAATAACTTTTAGTTTTTATATAATCTGACTTATTGTATTTTTATGCAAAGTATTTTAAATGATCAATAACACTGTATCCAATCTAATGTACAGCAGTTCAATGGTATATGTTTGTTAATATGTGTTTGCCTGATGATGGCCGTTAGTGGCTGAAACATGTAGCGAAACCATAGTTTGGCACTAACCTTGATTTTTTCTGTTTGCTGTGTTGTGACGGCAAATAAAAGAGTTGTAAGACAGACAACACCTCATGAAGGCCATAAGTGGCCAAAACATGCAGTGAGGACGAAGGGTAACTAGACAATAAGTTGCATTTAAGATGACAAAAGCATACAAAATGTAAGACACAATGCTTTCGTAATCTGTGCTTGCCATATGATATACAGATACACATCATTACCTGAGATCTGTTTGTCTGGTAATGGTGGAATGGGAACCAAACTAAATTTCTCTTCTAGCCTCTCATGTAACCAGTCAAAGTGTTTGTATCTTCTTGAAACCTGAATGTTATTGAACTGCAACAAAAGCATAGTGATAAAATGTAAATATAAACAATGCTTCTCACAGTATAAATGAATGGTTCAAAGTAAACCAACTTTCTATAAATTTTAACTAAACCCACTACATTCAGTTTACAGCTAGAAATAATCCTAAATCTGAAATGAAAATTGTATATGATAAAAAACAAATTACATCTGTATCCAATATTAAATTTCTTGGAATATTCACTGATAACATAATGAGCTGGAAAAACCACACTGAGTATATTAGTTCAAAACTAAGTACAGTCTGCTACATAAGAAGATTGCTTAAACCATACATGTCCATAAATTCCTTAAAAATGGTTTATCATTCTTATTTTAATTCTGTTATAAATTATAGTTTACCCTTTCGGGTAACTCACCCCAAAGTATAAAAATTTTTAGAATGCAAAAGAATATAATTAGAATTATGTTGGGATGCAGAAGGAGGGATTCGTGCAGAAATTTATTTAGAAAAATAGAAATCTTGTCTCTGGCATCTCAGTACATACTATCTCTTATGCTCTTTGTGATAAAAACAAAAACAAATTCATAGAATAAATACCAGACAGCAAAATAATCTTCATCAACCTCTTGTAAATTTGAGTATCAAAAAGAAGTTTATTGTTTAGGAACAAAGGTCTATGATAACCTACCACAATATATTAAGGATATATTGAGTGACACTAAGAGTTCTGAGGTACAATTAAAACAATTTTTACATTTACATTCATTTTATTCATTACAGGAATATTTCTGTTATAAATTTTTTAACATGCGAGTAGCTGTCTTGCTTTACAATTAAAAGAAGACAAGATTGTCAGTCTGTGTTCAAGTTCTTTAATTACTTATTTAAGAATATACAATTTTCATATCACTGTATACTAGTCTTTATTTCAATTTATTATACTATTAATGTATGTTATACAAAACTCATTAATGACATTGTGTTTTAACTATTGAATTTTTAATTAATAGACTTGTATAAAACTGTAAAAATTGTATAAGGTTTGCCATTGCTTTTACTACTAGAATTAACTTATTTATTATATTGTATATGTTTATCAGTATTTTATTACAAATGTGTATGCTATTGGATGACAACTGTAATTCTTAGTTGTGACTGTAACTAGGACGATCTCCACATCTGCATGAGAATGTATTCTCGACAGGATTTATGGAAGGTGAGTAAATGAAATGAAAAATCAAATGAGATGAACCAACCACATTTATTTGGGCTCAAACTGATCTATGATTGCAAATGCAAAGATTTGTGGGCAATACAGAAAAGCCTTTCTTTGTGAGTGCAGAAATGATCCTGCCACTTACATCATGCATACAGTAGTCTTGGTGGTAACCTCCAGTAATTTGAACTTCTAACACATGAGATGCAATCCTAAGCCGTATTTCTAATTTCATAATCCAAAATGGATCCAAAAACATATTCTGGCATGTTATACCTCTATAGGCTGAGTTGACACTAAGGCCACAGTGTGGCTGGTAGGATTAAGTCAATTAAAACTCAAATGACCTCATCTGGAATCGAACCCACGAACCTTCTGGCTTGTAGCACAGTGCCTCAACCAACTATGCTAAACTGTGCCAAAATTCCTTGTATAAATATAATATTCATACATACACACACACACACACACACACAAGTTCTGGGAAGAACTAATCACCTACTTTCCTTTGATACAAGGCTGCACCATGGCTCAAGTGGTTAGTCGCTGGCTTCCCACTGCAATGGCCTGGGTTCGATCCCGGGTCTGGTCAAGTGGGATTTGTGGTGGACAAAGTGGCGCTGGGGCGGTTTTTCTCCAAGTAATTCGGTTCCCCCTGCCAATCTTCATTCCACAAAATTCTCCATCATCATAATCACCCGGGGCAGGCTACAATAGGCCAATCAGTGGCCGCCGGGCCGAGAGGACCCAGTTGGACTCCACCCCCCACTAAGTGAATTAAAAAAAAATTCCTTTGATACAACATGGATGATACAGAAAATTACATGTTCAGCAACCCTGCTACTGTTGTGCTTGTATTCTTTTCTGCGGGAATGTGTTTACTAAGCTGTTGCCTAATGACAACAGCGGTGGGGAGAGGGGGGATATATGTACAAACACACACACAGACAGGTAATCTCATATGCATACATTAATTTTTTTTTAAAAAAGGAAAATAGGAAAATTGACTCTCACTCTGCTTCAGCAGCATTTTTAGCACTAGTTCCAAGACATTTAATGTGTACCGATTAGCATCATGACATGAAGCCACAGCTGCTCTGACCCATATGTTTACTGCTGAACAAATACAACAGACAATGTAATATCAATACTACTTACACTTGGGGTCAGCTGGTAAGCTATGAAGCTCTTCAAGCCTTTCAGTTTGGATTCCTTTTTGGGTGATGCCACCATACACACATAGGGCTCAGTAATTGGGTTCCAAACAACTCCTTTCTCTGATTCCTATTCACACACAGAAATTCATGAAAGCACATGAACCTATTTTCACAAAATAACAAGTACCTTTCAGACAGACTTGAAAGGATTCTGGCAATGGTGTATACTGTACTTCTTTTGGCTTATCTTTGGACTTCATCCAACGTCCAGTATGTAAAAGAGAAAAGACCACAACGTTTCGGAGACTGGATCTGTCTCCGTCTTCAGGTGGGCAGGGAAGGATAAACCTACTCAGTTGGGCCCGTTAGAAAGAGCTAGTCTCAATCACTGGTCCCACCTGAAGACAGAGACAAATCCAGTCTCCGAAACGTTGTGGTCTTTTGTCTTTTACATACCAGACAATGGCTGAAGTCCAAAACAAGCCAAAAGAAGTAAAGTACCTTTGAATTCATGTCATTCAGCCCACTGAATGAAAGTCTGTATGACTTCTGCACAAAGCAGTATATTATGGAAGAGTCTGATTCTACACTGCTCACCACAGCATCACATATTAATTACAATATTTCATTTTATATCCTAGTTCATTCGGCACAGTGATGGGCTGGCGTTCGATTCCCAGCAGGGGCAAGATTTCCCTCTATTCCCCAGTGTCCGGACCGGTTCTGGGGCCCAACCCAGCCTCCTATCCGATGAGTACTGCAGCCTGGTAATGAAGATGACCACTCACCTCCATCTAATGCTGAGGTCAAGAATGGATGAGCTACACCTTCACTCCATGACATGTCTTCATGGGACAGTAACTTCACCTTGCCTGTACCATATCTTGTTCATTTAAACACTTCCATTCATTCAATATAAGAACAATGCTTGCTTTCTGTAGGCTTTCTTGAAAGGATATACTAAAATTTTCATTTCGTGCATCCTGTTGTGTTATATACAATTACTTAACAATATTGGTGAGTTTTACTAATCCACATTACACAGATAATATTTTACAGGCCCTAGAATTGAATACTGAGATTGCAATGCCTATTTTCACTTTTCTATGCCCAAAATTGCTTACTTCTTGGCCAACTGCTTGAACACTTCAACATAATCACACTTTTATGAGGAGTCCATTCAAACCGACCACTGAATTATTAACATATTATAATGTGGTGCTTAATAACTTAAATCTGAGAACATTTCTGCAGCAATGGAATATTTATGGTATATGACAATTTTAATATGTACTAACTGAAACCTGGAATCTCAAATTTAACTACAAATCAAGAGTGTCCACACTCTCAAACCTGCAATTCTCAGTGTCCTTCTACTAGTCTGTGAAGTAAATATGTCGTCATGACAAACTCTTTCAATACATTAACACTTGTACAACGCTGTTGGTGGAAACTTAAAAATGTCAAATTTACAGTTCAAAGTACAGTTTATGTCTCTTTACTTCTAACAGTCTACACTCACTTTACCCAAAATTTTGATATTCTCTCTAATACTTTCTGAGTCATATTAACAGCCACATTATCATCCTGGTTTTCCAAAGCTGCAAACTTGTTTTGAGATTTATATCTGATATTTTTATTTAAGTTTTCAGCTTCCTGACATTAATTCTCTTCACATCAAACTTGCTCATTTACTCAGTGACAGTATCTCCCTTGCTTCTGGAACCACCAGACAGACAGCTCCTCTGAAAGGTCAGTCACGAAGCATACTTGAATGCCATCTCCTACCCATCAAGATATTATGATTAATCTGTGTACCTTCCCATCTGGAGATAGCCAAGTGTATTTATAAATGTTGTGATGTGGGAAAATCGATTTTTGGATGTAACAAAGTTTATTACTCTAATTGCATTACCATTACTACTTCCGTGGGAACTCTCATTTGCAGTTCCCACCCTCCCTACACATTCATGTGATACAAGGGAAACTGCTTGAACACGCCCTCTGGATCCTCATATATTATCATCAATTTTATCCTCAGTTGGGGCACACATGTTCACTAACATATCACACCAGTGACCTCTTAATGTTATATATCATATCCTCTCACGATTGGTGGGAAAGCCAGAAGGAAAGAGACCACTGGGAAGACCAAGGTGTAGGTGGGTGGACAGTATTAAAATGGATCTTAGAGAGACAAAATGGGATGGGATAAATGGATATGATCTGGCTCAGGATAGGTGCCAGTGGAAGGCTCTTGTGAACACAGTAATGAACCTTCAGGTATCATAAAATGCTGGGAAGTTGCTGAGTAGCTGCACAATTGGCGGCTCCTCAAGAAGGGCTCAGCTCCCTGAGTGAAGATGATCTCACTAAAAAAAACTCTAACCTCTTAAGTTAAAATATGATTCTCCTAAGTGTGAGAATTATTATTCAAAGTTCTATAGAAAAATATGTTGCCTATTTCAGTGCCATCTTTGTTTGCTAATTCTGTTTTCAATGAAGCTGACCTACATCAACTCCTGACATCCATCTATCATAGCACAGGACCACTTTGCACTGCTTACATCACTTCAAAGAACACATCCAAATCCTAGGTCCATGTACCATTTCATAACATGTTGATATTCTTATGATGAGCAGTTGTTAGCCTCCTCACCAACACCCTACCTACCTCTCCAGAACTGCCAACTCAATAAATCTGCATGGTGTCAGGGAACCCACTTAACACTGTGGCCACTTTGGGTGTAAAGTAGGTTATTTATAATTTAAAGTTTCCAGGCTGTTCAAGCAGTGAGTGTTCAGATTGGCCTGTGACATCATCATGTAGTAATGTGGGTGGACAAGAAATGTTTTGCAGGAAGCTGCTGCCTACATCATCAGTGTCAACCCTGAGGATGGAAGCAGTATATTCCTCAAAAGTACTGCTATCCATCAACAATTATAATTATTCAATCCTTATTCTTAGGTGTCTTCTAACAGTCATAATAAGTGCCTACTTGAAAACTATATAGATGAAAAACATGTTTAAAATGACATCCTTTAGTACCCAAATGTCTGAGGCCAACTTTTATTGTAATGATGGGTGACTTTTAACAGCAATTATAATTGCTGTTAGCAGTCACCCATCATCAAGCAGCAGCTTCCTGCAAAACTGTTAGGTTCTCGTGTTGTTCAAACGATTTCCTAGGTTCATTGCGTAGTGATGGTTGTCCTATAATCTGGCTTTCAGGCAGCACGTCACTGTATGTTGAAACTAGAAAATGTTATGATCTTGTGCTTTAATTTCACCATGCAATGGTGAAATTAAAGCACAAGATCATAACATTTTCTAGTTTCAACATACAGTGACGTGCTGCCTGAAAGCCAGATTATAGGACAACCATCACTACGCAATGAACCTAGGAAATCGTTTGAACAACACGAGAACCTAACAGTGGGGTTTCCACCATTATAAAGAGGCTAGCAAAGTCTAGGCAATGAATTGTTTGAGGCAGTAAACATGTACTCCCGTGGCAACAAGAGAGTTGTTTGAATAAAAGTGGGCGAAGCTAAACCCTTCGACAAGGTGTTCTCTATCCAGCCTGAGTGTAGGACAGAAAACACCAGGTTTGACAAGAACAGGTGGAGTCCAGCTTCGACTACAGCAGAGGACAGTGCAGCTTCAAAAACCAAAGAGCCAAGACACTTGGCCGAGAATAGCAGTGCAAGCATAAACATTGAAGAACCAATGCAGAGAGACGATGGACTAAGAAGGCTGCTTCATTCAAAAAGGGGTGTTATATGAGAATAATTGTAATAGTAAGTTTAACTAAGTGATTGTCCAATAAATGTCTTCACTAAATCCGAAACCCACAAAAATTTCTTGTTGCGATACCTATGAAATAATGCGACAATACATAACTATTATCAGATTGCACACAAGTCCTACTCACATAAATGTGAACCTTGTCCTCTTCTCTGACTGCAACTTTTACTGTGCCGAGGATGTAACTCTCTCCACCAGATTTAACAAATGTTGTAAAACGATTGAAGTTTTTCCGACCCACAGTTCCTTTGCCATCAGACTTGCCTATGAGAAACGTTCATAGTTTTACATTTCTCTTAATTAAGATCAGGATTTATACAGTTTGCATTTCTTTGCTCTGGCACGAGCTGAAACTGCTTATGTTGACACTAAAAACACACTGGAGCATACTTTACTTCGTTCAGGACGAGTGTGAGCATGAGTGGAGGTGTGGCAACATTAATGGCTACATGTGACTGGCCAACATTTTGGGTGGACCAGCCAGTACAAAAGCACTTAAAATATTCACCTACTCTAAACACTATAGGGTGATCAGTAAAAACAGTCTTAAATGGCTTCAACATAAATGTGCATGGAAATTTTCTGGGTGCCTTCCTTGGAGGGGAAAAATCCTTATGGCATCAACACTAAAAATGTCTTGGAAGAGTCCAAAACTAAAAGAAAAAATGTTTCTTGTTGGGCCCCATCTGCTTACTATTGCTATCTTCAGTACTCCAGATACCAAGGAAAGGTTATGAAGCCTCTGCATCCCTTGTATGAGAACAATACTAATTCCTATAAATGTTCTTATGACACCAAATGTAACTGACAAATGAGTTCACTTCATTTAACATTACAAAATTATTATTAGGGTAAGTGAAGAAATTAAAAGAAGAAAACCAGTATTTTCAGACAGAAGTCATGTTTTAAACAAAAGTATTATTTTAACAAATTATTAACATGCAATGATTCAGTGTTAATTTTATATAAATGTCTGACAAAAAAGTTCGCCAACTCACCACCATGTGCTTGCTGTGGTAGCAGTGCACAGAAACCTCAGAATGGTTTGATGAGGTTGGCATTCCAGCGTTTCACAGACTTTGTCTGAGTGGCATCTATTATTGTCTGAGTGTGTTTTGGTGTCTTGCATCATGACAATGCACCTGCTCACACGGCACCGTCTGTGAGGGAGTTTTCAGCTAGTAAACAAATAACTGTGCTGGAACACCCTCCCTATTCACCAGATCTAGCCCCCGGTGACTTTTTTCTGTTCCTGAAGATAAAGGAAATATGAAAGAAAGGCATTTTGATGACATCAGGAGTAATACGACAGCAGCTCTGAAGGCCATTTCACAAAACCAGTTCCAAAATTGTTTTGAAGGGTGGACTTGGCACTGGTATTGATGCATAACTTCCCAAGGGGAGTACTTTGAAGGCAGCTACAGCGATATTCAGCAGTGAGGGATATAGCACTTCTACTGCGATGAGTTCGTGAAGTTTATTGTCAGACCACATAATTTCCCCTGCAGCTGAATATATTCAATAACAATTCCCTGGCAGCTGGTGAAAACATGGATGGTAATTTGGTCTCATATATAAGTAGGTTGATGTTTTGTACATCAGTGTGATACACTGATTGACATTCTTTGTGTTTCATCCAAGCATTATCACATATACCACTGAACACTGCTATTTCTTGCCAAGATCTTAAACATAAATTAGTCAGATTACAAGCACACACACCAATCTGTGAATGACTGAGCCTTTGTATACTTCGTATTTTAAATCTGTATGTTTTGTGACCAATATTGCTATCAAAATTATGTGCTGACATCCAATATTTTAAGGCAATATTAATCAAAATCTGGGTACAGTTCTAGGACAGGCAATGAGAGTCATAAGATAGCAACAGTAAGTTTCAAAATATATCCTCAGCTTCAAATTCAGGGAGGGCACAAGTTCCTTGCAGACCATGCACCTCAGCCATTAACACTGCCAGTCTTGTTGCTACCATACATGCATTCATACAAGCAGATAAAACGAACTATTTAGCCTTCTAATTACAGAAAACCAACACTTCTGGTGGAAGAGATAACTTTTCATCAGCAGAAGTTTTAAGTTACCACTACCATAAACAAAACATTCTATTTGGCTAAATTCCTTCAAACTCTCTCCATAAATAAAAGTATTATAATTGAAACATAAACATAACTGTCATGTGTCCCTTTCAGGACTTTCACCCTTCACTGCATCCATGAGTGAGGTTCTGTATTAGAACCCTGTGGGTTAAATATCACAAGACACAATCACTAATACACACCTATAGTACTCACGTCACCAACGCTCCCAGATTTTGGTATCACCTGCCCTGAAGCGTATGCTGAATTATTTGTCTGTGATGTCTGTGTTCCACCACCTTCGGAGTCATCATCCCATTCGTCATCCCAATAATCACCCCCCTCATAGGACTGCTGAGGAAAAACGTGATGACACTTGAAGCGCAACTAACAAAAGCTAGATATTATATCAACTTCAGCAGTAATAAAAGCTTATTTTAATCAGGAGCAGCTTATAACCTCTCATATGATCCTACTTAAGTCCTGTAACTGACAATGTCACTTAACAAACAAGATATGTGACGTGATCAATTAAATTTTGGACTGGCCATAATATGACATTAGTATTGCTTGAATAAAAACACCAAGCGAAGGAGAAGCTGAATGTTTCGGCATCACTGTGCCATCTTCAGGTGTGTTATTTACATTAAACTATTGCACTGTTCGCCATCATGTGTTGTTTATAAAATGTTAAAATATATACACATACAATGTTTGTATATAAAATACATACAAAATCCAAGGTTTTCACAACTTAAAAAAAACTTTAATATACCAAGACAACTGCTGTAGTTGTGAAAACTTAGGATTTTGTATATACTGTTCATTACAAACATTGTATGTGCATATTCAGAACACGCGCTGTAATAGTGGTTTCCAAAGAGTATCGATGTCCCTCTGATGATTGTCTATAGGGACCGAAACATGTAAGGGTGTTAAGAACTGAAGTAGTAAAAACTTCAACAGTCACACTGGACGGAGTTATTTTATCTTTTATAATATTGTAAGATTACGTTAGTATTTTTGCATTAATTGTTGTGTTGACAGATATAAATATATTCATTTTGACTGGTATATAACATCAGTTACCATTGACAAAAATGCTGTACTGAGCAACTGATACTCAACCAGTCTCCTTGGCTGTGGAGGTTTTAACAGAAGTACATAGGGCTGATCTAGTTGGCTCACGACATGCAAAGGGTTAAATCAAACCAAGAAACAAATATACAGCATTATTAAGAATTTTAAAAACTCAAACCAAGGTTTAAAGCTTCATTTCACAGTTTACCAAAAAGTCCTGTCAAAATGATACTTTAACTTAATTTTAATTATTATGCATAGAGGCTAGAAACTTTTCACACAACCCATACAAAATGGAAACAACGCTAGAGGAAGAGGATTAAGATGATTAATGGTGGGGAATGATACTTCCTCCTTCATGACACATCTATCTCATTTACATTTGCTATCCTACCAGTTTTTTATTGCTAGTGGGCTGGGACTAAGTCCCTTGTACTGTTAGACATCTGGAAGGGAATACCATATGACAACAAAGAAGCACATCTCTATCAAATGTGAAGACATACAAAACACACCTGCCTAAAATTTGTGTGGTTTATGTTTCAAAACTCCAGCTCAGAACTTAACAACTTCAAAAAAATATGGGCCTCAGAAAGAACACAAGTGCATGTGGGTTCTCTAACACTGCTTCAGCTGGGATGCATGCAGTGTAACAGAAGCTTCATTTCTGCACATTCATCGCATGTTGCTACCAGCTTGGACTTTTGGTTATAAAATAAGGTATGCTTACAATACCCGTTATGGAAAATGAAAGAGGTCACTACTTAAAAAAGGGGGAATTAGCATGAGTTTGTAACAGTTTGATTGTTATGAAGTACTCTGTGTTTTGCAACAAGTTCAGTCACCTATGCTTAGTGTAACTATAAAAGTATGATCATTCATATGACATGTAAACTTACAAATCAATGGTGAAAATAGGCCATAACTACATTCATATGAGATTTACAGTGCCTCTGAGTCACAAAGCTGAGGTGGTATCAATTATACACGACTTCTGTAAATTTTCTTAAGATTGTAGGATTTGAGGTTCTCAGAGTGGTGGTTATGAGGCGTACTACCTTCCAGATATAACCCCATTACACCCCAGAACACAGTATTCTTAAGGTACTGTACACAGTTTGTCTATCAATCAGGGTTACTGGTTTTTTGGACTTTGTCCATCGTTCAGTATTCTAAAGCACATAATGTTTTGGAAACAGATCCAATTTCCAAAATACTGTGTTCTTTAGAATATGAATGACGGACAAAGTCCAAGAACAGAGTAATCATAAATGTTATATCACCACAAACGTTTAGAATCTGCATTTTGTCTGTTTTATATTTTATTTTGTGCTGTGTTAACAAATTCTTGCATTTTTTTTTTCAATATGTCTCATTCCTCTTTCACGTTGCATATGCTCCTTCAGCTTAGCAAGGAAAGACTGGCTGAAAAAAAAAACAGTGACTTCCCTCGACAAGGCTTGCAGAATAAACATAAATTAATACTGATTTTGACTGCTGCACTGCTTCTTCCAGTATATTTGAGTATGGTGGCATGAAGGAGGACAGTGCAGGGTGAGAGAAGAATAAATTATTCCTGAAGCGTATGCTGACATTTTGTGAGATATTCCAGATAAAAGAAATTGAAAACAGGTCACTAACTAATGATAGTGGTTTTTAGTTTTATTAGTCATAGTGTAGTTGAACTTCTGAAAGATATCACTCTCAAAAATATTAGCACACAATCTTCCAAGAGGCCATGACAACAATCAAACTGTCTAAATACAGAGGCATGTTTTTCTCAGCTGCTATTTCTGGGACAGCAGAACTGGAGACCTTGAAAGGAGGTGGGACATACCAATTCTAAAAGCCAAATTCAAAATTTAAATTTTAAATTTGTTATACCATATGTAAAAGGATTTGATGGTTAGAGAGGTTGTCTTTTATTAAGCGTGCAAATCTAGGAATACATTACATCGTAAGCTGTACACGCTATGTACCTGCTGGGAACTTAGTGGTTGCTGCTGGTGGTCACCCTGGCTTCCCCACGTGTCCTCTGTATTCACTTCTTGTACCGGATCTGTGAATGCTTCTGGGAGAGGTGGTGGAGGCATTGCAGGAGGCTGGCTTCCTTTAACTTCCTAGAAAAGGAAACCTGGTATGGACTCCGAACAAGCATCTCCTCCACACAATGTACTGACAGATAAATTCCATGTCAACCCCAAATGATGACACATTCCAACTGACACAATACAAGATTATACCACTGCTTCAACTGCTCAACATAATTTTACTAATCTATTATATCATTTCAATTAAACCCTGGACATGTGACAATGCTTATACAATCCAGCAATATTACTACTTATGAACAAAACAGGAAGCACAATTTAAAGATACCACAATTACCCGTAACCTGTTACTACTTTACTAGTTCATCTACATCAGGAGATTATAGTTATATATATATAAGTCCAAACGGCTGCAATATAAACACAAATTTCAGATCTATAATTTGTAGCTAATGTGAAACTGTCACATAGGTGGTGCCTGTGGTGCCGTGCTGTGTAGACTACTGATGTTTGAACGTTACACTGCCAAGTATAAACAGCATGAATACACTTTGCAGTGTTAAGCAGTTCTCAGCTCTGGATTTAATGATTGGTTGATTGCTGGCAGGTTGCTCTGCACCCCAGCAACATGGAAAATGCAGCTTCCTCTATCGGATAGGGGTTGTGGCAACTCACAGTTATGGCCTTTGGCATTTGCAATGCTGCAGTAATGTTCAAGATCCTGATGGAATCCACCTGCAAAGCCTTGCTTAAGAAGCCTCCCTGGTGTACCTGGACGATGTAATCATTGTCGGTGGGATGTTCCAACAGCAATTTAACACCCATCAAAGGCATTCCAGAGGTTCTCATAAGCCCACATAAACCTGAACCCCCAAAAGTACTAACTGTTCCAAAAGGAGGTGCTGCACCTATAACATGTATCATCGGAAGGAGTGACTATGGCTCAGTAGAGCTGAAGGATGTACAGGAGTGGCCACTGGTGAAAGACAAACAAGAGGTGAAAAGATTCCTTGGGCTGCGTACCTACTACTGGAACCGGCTTGGTGGACTTCACACAGTCAGTAACCCTGCTCCCACCCCCACCCCAAAAAAAGGGGGGGGAGGGGATTTCCTAGTGTTCTCCAGAAGATAATACTGCCTTCTGGTCCCTGAGAAAGTCGTTGTGTATGGCATCTGTCCTTGGATAACCCTGATCATTATAGATGCAGATGGACACAAAATGGGGATTGGAGGTGTGCTGTCACAAGTGCATGTTGGCCAGAAGCATGTAGTAAACAACAGGACACCATCCAAGGCCAAGACAAACTACTGTATGATCTGACAGGAGTTACCGACTATTGCAAAGAAATTGGAACTCTTCCACGAATACCTCTGGGGACAAGAGTTCCACCTGTGTCCTGACCACTGTGCCCACACTTGGCTCCTTAGTTTGAAGAACATGGAGAAACAAACGGCCTGCCAAGTACACTGTATCTGAGACTGCAAATTTTACATACAGACGTCGCCAGGGGCAGGGGCACTCTCCATTTCATCCTGCTCAGAGGCAGGCTGAAAGAAAGTCAAATGACAGTCAGGCCTACACCTACTTCAGCAGTAAAATCATCCGAATAAGTGCCTGTTAACCTCTCTTGGTATTGGTTCTAAACTTATCTTTAAAATTTTCTATGATATCTGAATAAGTACTAGAAGATACATCTTCATCACTGTCACTTGCTGACATATGTAGCAACTGCATTGGTGATTTTCTGAATCTTTTCCTTAGGATATTTGTTTTCTTATGACCACTTCTTCTTAATTGGTGGTTCCCATATATCTGCAGACTGCTGTTTAGTACAGTATTTGAGTAGTACTATTTGAAGTACTATTTGTCTGTTTTGTGCGAAGAATCACATTGGTGCATTTCAACTTTCTGTATTTCACTGATGTCTGCCCCTGAAGTGTCAATATATCTCAGGCTTTCTCATTTTATAATGAGTAATTCTGCATTTTACACAAACTTTAGCACTTTGTTTCACAGTGGTAACTAAATTTATCATCAATGGCTAATGGTTCTTATGTCTTTACTAACTTGTGAAAGTACCTCTTCATTAAAAGGATTACAGTAGAAAATCTACTCAGCCACACTCATTACTTGGTACAAAACACAGTGCACCAGAAAATGAAACATTGATAAAATAAATATTTATTTACAACTACAGATAAACAAATACACTTAAAAAATTCTTAAATTCCACAATACAACTGAACGTTTTAGAAATGTTGTTGTTTCACAACAGGAAATAAATACTCTAATTTGCAGTTTATGGAAAATAACAATCTGTAATCTGTTTTAACTTGACATATTCTGCACTTTCCCTGCTATTTGTGGGGGAAAACTAACTAATTAAATTCTCAGAATCACTGAAAGCACCTGTATTATCTTGCTTGAAGAAAGAAAACCCTTAAAATTTCCATGAAGACCTATGTGTACATGGTTGATTCTTGCAACCAAGTAACAAAACATTTAATTCCTTGAAACGTTTTTAGTGTTCTGCCCTTCAGACTTCCAGCATATGTCAGGCAAGTACTGACCTGTTAACATTACATGTTTTTCAGAATTTTTAAATTGTAGCTTATAGAGAAATTCAAGGTCATGTTTTAAATTTAATGTCTTTGAATAGTTTTAGTATAGTAACACAGTTCTACCAAATTTAGAATAACATTTGTGATGATGTGCAAGCCAGATTTCCCCAGTTTTCAAAAGTTTAAATGACAGTATCTCTTGAAATAAGTGAAACAGGATTATGAAATGTTATACATCAATTTCCATGTCCCAATTTCATTAAAATCACACGAAGTATGGCTGTGCTAGTTTGAAATGGAGTGACATGCTTGTTTACTACTACCTGAATAGGCATGATTCATCCTCCCAAAGAAACACATTTTCCAGGAAGAATAAAAGGTTTATTTTCAAGGTTTTGAAATACGGTGGAACTTGAAAATATACTACCACCACTGTATCTTCAGTGGAAGTTTAGGTCACCGCAAATCAATTTATAATTTGCTGTCGATTCACCTTGAAAAACAATGGAATGGTAACGCTTGTAAATAAAATTGCTGCTTCATTCTGGTTTCCTGCTTCACTTACTCTTCAACCTTGAAGATGGAGGTGAGAGGTCCCACCATAAGATTAGGTGAATTTCACCAGACTACATACTAATGCCACCAAAAGGGCCGCGCCATAGCTCAAGCAGTTAGTCACTGGCTTCCCACCGCGGCAGCCTGGGTTCGATCCCGGGTTTGGTGAAGTGGGATTTGTGGTGGACAAAGTGGCGCTTAGACAGGTTTTCTCCGAGTATTCGGTTTCACCTGCCAATCTTCATTCCACCAATTGCTCCACAATCACCCTCACCTATCATCTGGGGCTGGTACAATAGGCCAGAAGTGGCCGCAGTACAAGGGACTTAGTCCCACCCCACTAGCAATAAAGAAAAAAAAAAAAAAGAAAATGCCACCAAAGAAGACAGAATTCTTCATAACCATCACTGTGAGAATCTCATATCCTATATATTTTTTAAATACTGTAATTCTGAAATAGCAGCAAACTGGATGATTGTTTTCTCACACCATCTGCTCCAAATTATCTCATAAACTTCCTACAGTTCTGTCATTGGACTCTGAAACACCCCATATACTAAATTCAATGCTGTATAAGCAAAGCAGCAGGCAGTGCTGGTGGGTCACATAGGGACCATAATGAACAGATTCCAATATGACACTATCTACTATTCAGAGGGGAAAATCACCGTGTTACCAAGTACCTACAATCAAATGATGACACTGCACCTCCTTCATGCCATTCACATCATCAAATAATTTTAATTTAAACTACTGTCACACAACCTGCATATCTGATGAAGCAACATTCATAAACAGCCGAAATGAATCAACAGTTAAGCCCACAACTGGCCGCAACCACTAAACTGCACTGAGCTGAAAAGTGCTTGCAACATTTCTGACACAGCCTAATTTAATTAGAGCACTGGAGCCTACAATTAGAACAGCTTCAAAAGTGCCTAAACTTTTGATGTATGATGCATCACTACATTACACACCTCAATGTGAATGTCAGGATTTTACTCAAATTAAAATCCAAACACTAACATATAAACTCTAAAAAGGGGGGGGGGGGCACATTTCATGACAATTCTATGGAACAGGGTCCTTCTAAAAACCTGAAAGTCACTCAGGAAATTCTCTGTCTCGTATAGAACCAAAAAAGTGAGTACCACAATTGCAATATCCTGTCACGGGACAATATCCTGAGCCAGTTGAATTATTTCTACAAGATCCGTTACAATATTACCCTCTCCTCACCTCAGTACTTTATGCAGTCTCTTTCCTCTTTCAAACTAAAATTTTAAATGCATTTACTGCCCCATGCATGCCACATGTTTTGCCCATCTCATCCTCCTTTACTTTAATACCATCACAAATAACGTTCACGTGGTGAGTGCCACAAGTGTGTAATTTTCTCCACCCTCAACACTCTACTCCTGCTTAGGTCAAAGAGGCAGTGCCACACTTCAGGCAGTTAGTCGCCGGCTTCCTACCATGGTAGCCCAGGTTCGATCCCAGGTCAGGTCATGTGGGATTTGTGGTGGACAAAGTGGCACTGGGGCAGGTTTTCTCCTAGTACTTTGGTTTCCCCTACCAATTCTCATTCCACCAACTGTTCCACAATCGCCATCAATCAGGGTTGGCACAATAGGCCAAATAGTGGCCGACGTACCAAGTGGACTCACATCTCACCCCACCCCCAAAAAACTAGGTCTAATGTTCTCCTGAAGTCTCTGTTCTGAAATGTCTCAATTTATAGCCTTCCTCTGGGGTGACAGACCAAGTTCCAAGGCCATACAAAACAAAAGACACAATTACAGGGTTGCATAAACTTTAACCTTTACGTTTCTGGACAGAAGACAGGTAGATAAAATATTCTGTACCAAATTGCTGAATGTTATTTGTTCCTCACTTTCACAAGACACATAAATCTGATTTGTTACCATCATTCCTAATATTTTAATTCTGCCTCATTTTGTGGGGATTTATTACCTATCTTCATATACTAATCCCCACCAACAACAGACATTACGTTCATGGAGGGGGGGGGGACTTCAGTTGTCAAAACCAAGGTTTTAAGAAAAACTGTGACCACTGTAAACCCTTCAAAGTGGAGGCATTCAATCAACAGTCTAATAACATGATGTGGGATCAATTCTTAAGGGTATCCAAATTTTGCCTTAGAAAATGTAAAAATGACATGCATTTTGAACTTCCATGGTTCTCTTTCTATTTAAATGAAATTTGTAACATTAGTTCCATACTGACTCTAGACTGGGGCACGTGGTAGTGTAGTTGGTTGAGGCACTATGCTACAAGCCAGAAAGTCGCAGGTTCAATTCTCGATGAGGTCACTGGATTTTTCAATCTACCTAATCCTCCCAGCCTCACTATGGTCCTGGGTCAACTCAGCCTCTAACAGAAATGAGTACCAGGAATATTCCTGGGTGTAAAGGATGGCATCTCCAGTCCAGATTATCAGCATGGACTACAAACTGATGTGTCTCATTGAATCCACACTAATGATCCAGAATGCTTTGACCTACAAGTGCTGGATAAAATTCTGTAAGAAGGCGGTAAGAGCACTGCACATCTCAGTTCTGTAATTTGGTTGTTATACTGCGAGCATGTGAGTAATACTGCCCCCACCTTCAGAGTCAAACTGTGTAAGGTGGGTTAATTCTGTGTACATATAGGTTCAAGTTTCAAATAGATAATTACAGGGAAGACTGGGAGCTGCTGCCTTGTCAGCCTAAAAATCAGTAAGAGTTCTGTAGTCAGTTTTATTGCCCTTCTTATAATCTTAATCAAAACAAGAATTTTCCACTGCCATGACAGTTTTTCCTCAATCCAATTCTAGATTTCAGACCATAATGTTTACCTATTGTTCATGCCAATTTTGCTGGGATCTGATTAATAACAGACAATTTACACCTTTTACTTCAACAAAACTAAACTCAAGTAGTACTGGAGAATGCCGTTTTCTGGGATGTGGCGCCACATAGATCTTGTGTGAATCGATGTTCTGGAGGAATGTATCGTCTCCTGCAGCCGCCTGCTCACGCTTGTTCCTCGCTCATGGATTTCTCTACCCTGAAGATGGAGATGATACATTCCTCTGAAATGTCGTTTCACACAAGATCTGCATGGCGTCACATCCCAGACAACAGCATTTTTCACAGTCACCGCCATGAAAACCTCAAATCTATCAAGTATTAATGATTCAGCTCCATACATTTCAGTCTTCATAAAATCATTAATCCCATGCACATTTAACACATGGCTAAGATAATGTTTCCATTTATTCAAAATACTTTAAGAATTTTTACTAAAATTATCACTGTCATCTTATTTTCAAGGTTGTAATGTTAATAAATTTAAGCTTTTATAGAAATTACTAGTACTTTTTCTGACTGTAATAAATCTATAATTTTGTCATTCAACTATACTCTTTTTTTGTTGCTGTTGTTCCTCCTGAATGTTCTATTAGTTTCACATTTTACATTGTTAAAACTGTGTGATCACTCCAGAATAGCATGCTTCTTTGATCTGCTGATTTTGAATATTCAACAAACCACTGAGTTCTGCTTTCATTTCATTTCATTTCATTTATTCACCTCCCATAAATCCTGTCGAGAGGGTCAGGGTAACCTAAACTCTCTTTGATGGAAATTTTGAAATTATTTCTTATACTCCCCCAAACCCCTTTTGATGTCTACATTATCATCCAAGTTTTCAAAGTCATAATCCAAGATATAAGACCTGACATGGCTGACTGTCCATGAAACTTCTTCTCATCTGAGAAATGGCATTCCAGTCTTTTCCTGGAACAACCTGTACTGCTTATGTGAACAGGTTTATCCTATAAAGCTAACTAAGGTAATGTACATATGTACCTATGGATTATTTCTATGTTTCTGTAATCCTGAACATATGCACATTTCAGATTACAAACTACAGTTACGAAGGGCACAAATGGCGCACAACCAGCTGCACGCAGGCGTCTCTTCTTTTGCTCCATACAAAATTAATGATAACAAGCAGATTATATTTGTCTTGAAGTCTTCATGGCGGTCACTGGTTGTGCGGTGGTGTCTGACACAACACAACTTTTTTAAGTCCTTAGTATGTATGGTCTTTATGTTATGTAAAATATGGGGAAATAAACTTCCTTCTGAGTATTTGCAATTTAACACACTCAACCAATAAACCATCCTCGGGTTAAAAAGTTAAAAAATAAATAGTAATTCTGGGCTAGCAGGTGAGCCATGCATAGTGGGTGAGAGTGAAATACTGGTCCAACCACATAAGAGATTATTTTCTCAAAGTTGTCTGTGTGCTGCTGTGAAGATAACTTGTCCTTGGCCCTCCTAGACCTCACATAAAATGTCAACAAAATTCTTTAACAATTTAGCCATATTGCACAGCCAGCAAGTATTAACTTTAATATACTTTGATACCACTGCACCCTCACCTGCTCTTCCATTGTAACAAAAGCATACCTAACAAGCAGAGTAGCTCCTTCTTTTGAGTACACTCAGAGTCAATTTCCTTCAAATACTGGGTTGCTTTACATTGTAACTGTCCTGAAGGAGTGATTATGTAGTTAGTTATTTAGAGAGGGTGGGTTTCCCCATGCACCGCGACCAGTTTGATAAATTGTGCTTCCCTCTATGATATTCTACCAGTCTCTATACCCTACCGATAAATGGTGCGTACCATCAGTCCCGCCGAGCAAGCGAGTTCGGCCACTTGCTTAGCGGTGTCTATAATGCTTCCCCCCTCTATCAGAGGCCTTAGAGACTATTGTTGGGCGGGAAACATCCTGGAATTTGGCTCAGTGATCCCCTTTGGGGATATAAGGTTCTTTTACGCGCCGCAAAGTTACGACACGGGACACACAGCCTAACGTCCCTCCCGGAGGACCTGTTCCCTGAATTTTTCCGTCCTTAAAAATTCGACGACCTCCGCCGGGTATTTGAACCCGCGTACTACGAGTCATGAGGTGGGAACGTTACCTCTAGACTACGGAGGCCGCTGTGATTATGTAACTTGATTTAAATGTTTACAGATATATAACCTCACCTGCACATATGCAGCAGGAAAGAGGCCTGTTTGACCTGCCTGATTAACACCTTCCCACCATCCTTCACCAACATTTTGTCGTGTGACAGTGAGCACCTCTCCTGCAGTGATGGACAGTTCCGCAGTTCCAGGTTCCCCAGCAAAGTCATACAGTGCCTGCACCTGAAGTATCCAACAGTATCCATCCACAGTAGCTATTCACACGTCCATGAGTGTGGCAATTAATGAACACGTATTGTATCAAATATTTTCACTTCTTATGTAAAACCATGGAGTTATCGTTATGTCAATCTACTGCCAACACAAACTGCATGTACAGAAGCATAAGCCTACGTGTCAATAAACATAATTTTAAATTTTGGAAGAAAATAATTTCGAAATATTATAAAAAAATACGGAGAATCCAAAAATGATACTCAAGCACATAAAACCCTGCTTTACATTACAGCATTCACAATCACAACATATATCTGCATGCATGATAACACACATCATTAACTCACCCGAAACCCCGCCATTTTGACAATTGACACTTGACTGTTGACACTGATCTCACAACCAGAGATGTTCATGTGTGCATGACGTCATTGAGAAGCGAGTTCCAAATGAATGATTCAAACGTCATAAAGCTTTAAATTCTATTAGTATGACTACGAATACTCAGTATTCGACACTTTCGTTGATAAATATACGCACAATTAATATAAACCAACTTGATTCACCACTCATAACACTTGATGTAATAACATCAACGGCTTATTGCTGCTAAATGTAGAACTCTTTAATATATTACTTCACCTTAACGGAGGTATTAAAGTAACAATCCATACATTTTTTTAAAAGAACGTATCTCACATACAATCTATAAAAAAGTTCAAGGGGGCGATTACACAGTCACACATATGGACAAAGCAACTTGTCACTTACTGACGTAAATCACAAATAAGCTATTTATGTAGCATATCGCAGGGACGACCGGGATGACAATGCAAGATAGCAATTAGTTGCAATCAGCTGTTAGATGTTGACAGTGCCGGCTCCCCCCTCCGACCAAAGTGCATGCTTTCGCTTCAACTCGCTACATGTTCACAGATGGCAGTAAAGTAACATGTAACATTATAATGTAAAATCACTATTAAGGGAACCGTGATGAATGGAATTCATTCTTCTATCATGTCGCTGAAAGTTATAGACGAATGTATTTTGTCTCTGTTTACCGATCAGTGGTTAAGGCGGTTAAGGCGGCCAGGGATTTGTAAATATCATACTGCCGGGTGGGGGGGGCACAAAGTATTTGCTGCCATCTCTACACAGACGGACCGGACTAGACAGTCAGAACGGTCAGAACGGTCAGAACCGTCAGAACCAATCACAATACAACTATTGCATATATATCGAATCGCATTTGTGTGACCCAATCACTGTACAATTTTAGCAATATATCGACGTTGGTGGAGGTTGGTTGCGTAGGGGAAGCCAATCGTGACTCGAAAATCCACTTCTTACACTACATGCTGTAGCACAACATTGTTGCCGGTTCAGAGGCTTCTCATAATTTTCCTTTCGTATGTTTCATGTCTTGAATTGTGTTTATGTAAACTTAGATCTATTCATAGCCTCCAAACAGAATACCTCCTAGTATCTATTGACTAACCATGCGGAGCTGAAGGGTTCAATTCTGTGTCCAGTCAACATTGGACATAGAGAGATAGAGAGCAGTGGTACAAGGATTTCTCCTCCTGTGTACATTTCCTGCATAATGCATAGGTGCTGTCTGAATGTGAATTCATGTTACTAGTCCACACTGTTTCCTTTTCAAGGACAGTGGATGGGCCCCACACAGTTTATCCAAAGACTCTTGAATTACTTTTGCATAAAAGAAGTGAAGTAAATTTATATACAGTGTTGCGTTTAGTTCTGGATATTTTTTTATTACATGTTGTTTGTTTAGATGTGAATGCACAAGTCAGCACTCAGGATGGGGAGCATATTCTCAAAGACAATGGAAGAGAATCTAAAGAAGAACCAAGAATTCATTACTGAAATGAATAAAATCTCCGTATGTATACCCAGTTCATCCATTTGCATTGCCCTCTGATGATGTGTGTATTTGCCCTTGTGTAAAATGAAATTTTGTGTCTTCAAACCAAAGTTTTGTGTTAATCTCATTGTTCTGTGGGCCTCTCCAAAATGCAATGTATGATGTTTATATGAATTGAGAACTTTCAGAATTTCATTAAAACATATATTCCAAATATTTATAGAATGAAAATTTCCATTTATTGAAGAAAACAGCCAGGTACAGTAACTTTTGGAACACAGTTGATCACACCCATATATGAAGAGCATAAATTAATCACTTTGAGGGGTCAGCTAATTGGTAGCACATTTGAGTTGGATTTGTGAAGTGTCCATTTTCAGTTTTGGATGACAAGTATGCAACTGGAATTGTGTTCATTGCTGTGGAGTATTTTTTTTTTATATTGACCCTACGAGGGTTACCACTTAGGCTGAAATGATCAACTTGTAATCACATGATCATGCCATTTTCACTCATTCAAGGCTTTGTCAGCTCTGAAGTGTTGGGAATCTGTATGGGTTAGAAATAAACTTGAAGGAATACAGCAATAAGGAAATGAAAGTGAGCACTGGCTCCTTGGATGGGGAAACCAATGAAGAGATTCAGTCTACCCTTTCTGACCAGTCTGTGTATGTGAGAATTGGGAAAAGGGACAGGAAAGCATTTCCTCTTCAAACTCGTGTTTGTGAAATGTGAGGTTTTGACTTTGTACGGCATCGTCATTTTTGGGTATGGAAGGGTCAACATACGGCCATACATTCCAAATTCAATTCTTTGTGTCCATTGCCAGAGGTTTTTACATATGCAATAATGATATGGATTGTCCCTGATCTTTGGCATATGCAGTTACAGTAAGGGATTATTCCTGGTCTGACACTGCAAATTGTAATGGGCCCTCCTCTTGATCAGAAGAGCTGGCTCATTCAGAAACTTAGAGTGAAGAAGGGTCTTACACTTCTGGATGCCTTGAGAGCAAACTGAAGACTGGAAATCAGTCCATGAAGTGGAGGAATAGATATAGCTACCTTCACTTAGACTGAGGATCTGTCTAATTCTGTCAATCTGTATCAGTCATGAGTGTGCATTGTGAACACTCATGTGACAGATTCTGGAATTTTTTATGGTTCTCACCAAAAGTCCATATTAACAGAACATTACTTTTTGTTCCCTACCCAATTCCAGTAGCAGGATCAATCATTCTGAAGCAGCAACTGTACTTGAACACAGCCCATCTGACATGCTAACTTACAGATGGATCGTGACTGCACTCCTGGGAGGAAATGCAGGGAGACCGAAATGATTCTTCCTTAAAGTAATGTAGGTTTTGTGGAGCTCCTGGTTTTCATACATGGTCCTTTAACTTATAGGCTGCATTTCAGTAGTGTGACCCAGTGATCATATATCACCAAGAAACTTGTCATCGTTCCGCAGTTGTATTCTGTCTGCTTGTTTTCAAGCCCACTGTTGTGATGGTTGCGGACTGCTGTTTTAGTAAGGAATGCATCTTATGATAGGAATAAGATGCAAAGTACAAACACAATGGCAGCACTTTATGCTGTTTGTTTCCTCAGATCAGATCAGTCTTAGCACTATGATGATTAAATGTTGTTTCTGCAACTGAGCAGGCAGTGCTGTGCACAAGACATCGTGGTTTTAATTTGTGTCTCTTATTTTCCAGGTAGAACGCCAGATTCAGATGCAAAATCAGATGCGTGAGAGAATGATGGCAATGCAGGTAGCTCGGGCCAGAGAACTCCTATACTGGTTTGGCTCATTTTATGTTCTGGCTGCCCTGGGGATGATAGCTGGGTAAGTAAGGGGTTTGTCATTCTTTGTCAGAGGTTTAATGTTCTCAGTGCAATGGTCATAATTTTCAAGAGTTTCCCCATACAAGCTAGATGTAGTGTTCTGTTTAAGGGCCTCAGTTTTTTCACTCTTCTCTTTGCACTTATTGTTTTGCTCAGGGCTTCTGGCTCAGCCTGTTCCCATACAGTGTATTTCACTCAGCTCATTCTGCTTGCTACTCACTTCCTTCGCTGATTCTTTGACCCTGAAGGTGGAAGCAACATGTTCCTTTGAAAAGAAATGAAAGATGGATACCAAGATAGAGGCCAATAATAAGAAGTTGGAGGTCCTTCAAGGTACTGTCATCTTTGGATGGATATCCACCAAGCCAGGACAGAGGCCATGCAAGAAGAAACGGATGCCAACCTAAAGGAGATGAAGCCGGCCACGAGATAATGACATAAATTAGGGCCTGATGATGACAGATGAAGGCCTGTCTGAAGAGTAGGGAACCAACTCCAGAAGAGATGGAAAATGCAGCACTGCACCTTGAAGTCCCTAGTGAACAGGCTGCAGTGGAAACTATTGGAGCTTTGGGGGACCTATATGGTGACCATCAACTAGCCATAGGGTGCCGCTGACAGCTGACTAAACAGACTAGGGAACCGTTGGACTGTTATATATATCTAGAGTGTACTAACATCTGAGATGTCACCCATGTTGAGGTGGCTTCAAATACCTCCACCGTGATCCTGTGAATCATAGGAGGCGACAAAAAGGAAAATCTCAAATTTGATACAGTAATATATGGTCTCTAGTACTAAAGGACTCAGACCCAAAAAAGACTGCACTGGCACATGCAAAAGACAGACCTATCCTCTCATCAGAGAGGGCGCACACAAAAAAGAAAGACCGTAACAGTCAGTAATAAAAATCTGGTTGCTTTATGCCAAGACAGACTGGCCGACTGACCATCGGTCATAAAATGAGACTCAGACTCATCTGGGATGTGATGTCATGTAGCCTGGTAGACGATTTACCGGACTGTGTGGCATCACATCCCAGATAATAGGACCCTTCATAGTCACAGCTGTGAGAGCCTCATATCCAATATGTATGTATCATTTCAATTTTTGGTGGGTTATATTAAGTGTTTTGTTTCAGCTTTTTGCCATGTTCCATTCCATTATTTTGTTCAAGGTTTCGTCGTACAAGAAAGCCCGGAGTTCTCGCACCTTTACTGCCTTTGTCATTTGTTGTAGCCTATCAAGCAGACATGGCTTATGGAAACAAATTGCACAGAATTAGATGTGAGTACATATTGTGCTGTAGGCAGATGTAGCATGCAGAAGCCCGTTATGATCACTGTTTTTGGCCATCTCATGATTTTATTTTGTTCTTCCATAAAAATGCTACAGCATAGCTTATGTTCCATGAGCATTTGTTTTCATAATGTGTGAGGAGGACTTCATGACACATACAGTGGCATAAGCATGACTGACTGACTCCTTGGAGCCAAATCCTTCTTGAGAAGCAAACAGTCACTCAGGTACTCAAGAATTGTAAGTTTTTGGATGGAATCTTTCATTTAATTATAACTCCTCACCTCATTGTAGGCTATGAAATCTTTTTTATGGAACTCAGAGGTTCATTACTGTGTCCACGAGAGCATGCCACTGGTCCCTATCCTGACTCCAGCCCATATTACCGCTAATAAAAAAGTATATGTATGAAGAAAGCATAGCTCATTGGAAGGACATTAACCTAGCATTTCAGGGATTGTTTATACAGCTCCTTGCTGATTCTAGCTTTCATTTTTGGAGCATCTTGTGCCCCCCCCCCCCCGAGTCTCATGGTGAGGAAGTTGAATGTTTTAATATAATTTGCAAACTCTGCCATGTGTTTACACTCATATATTTCAGCATTACATTTATTACATTGAGAATGTATGAACATTGTACCTAGTATATGCAATTTTATGATTTCTTAATTTTCTATGTTAATAAACATATCATAACTAAATATGTTTCACTGTAAGTACATGAGACATGTATTCAGCATGGTTTGAAATTTACATTATGAATTTCTACATCTGTCCGCAGCGGAGGCTGAAAACATAATGCAGTTTGAGATGGATCTGTTGGAGTTGCCATGTGGGTTACCATCAGCATCATCTATTGATCAAGCCAGACTGGACAATGACGAAAGGAAGAAACTTCACCCATCGGTGCCTCCGCTATAAACGAAACCTCTGATGCAGAATATAGAGACAGTTTTGTTAACACAGGTGTCCCATTAGTCTGGAACCAGAAGTAATACTGACATTTTTACTAAATGTTTTTACTAGTTCAAGAGAATGGCATGAATTGTGTGTGTTCACTGTAAGACACCATTCAGTGATAATTGGCCTTGAAGATGCTCAACATCACATACTTTCACAACATACTTCTGGCTTTCAGATTGCTCTGCAGATAAATGTCATTGAAGGTCAGGGAATCATAGTTACTTTCCTATGGCATTTATAGGTGCTCACACCTCACACAAAACAAAGAAACAAACAAACAGCAATGATAACAACAGTTCACTTCTTTCATCATTTACATCTTTACTTAACAGCCAAAGACCAAATTATAAAGTAATCAAGATCAAAAAAGAAAGAAAGAAAGAAAAAGAAAACACACACAAACAGAAGACAAAAGAAGGAAACTGTATCATTTAGACAATAATAACAATTGAATTAGTGCTGCCATTATGCAATGAGAAAGAAGTACGTATAGATTCATATCAAATTCAGTTAACATTTTAATAATTATGCAAGTACCATATAAAATATGAAGAGAAACCATTTTGGTTCCATATTCATTAGTGTCCTGACAGATAACATCAGTAGCAGGACAATTTTGCATGAACGTAGAAGAGTCTCGATATACTGAGGAGGAACTTGAAGGCCAACAGTTTACAACAGGCAAGAACAGAGTTTAGAATCAAGGTAAACATGAGTATGGACCAGTGCAACAAGGTACATAAGATGTGCAATTTTAAGTACTCTAAAAGCATAAACATCACTGTAATGGACATGTAGAAAGACATGATTAAAGCATATGGCTGTAGACTTCTGCTGGATGTGTTCCAATTTGTTGACATCAGTAGTAAGTAGGTGTATTAGAATTCCAAACAACAGAAGCATATTCAAGCTTAGATCTAACTATGGTGAAACATAATGGGCAGTTCAGAAAAGGGAAGGAAGGAAACGTATGCTGCAAACTAGACCCAGCAGCTTAATATACTGAGAAAGTATATAGTTAACGCTATTAGTTTGGAATATTTAGAAATTTAAAATCCCTTTGCTGGACAGTTTCAAGTGATGTTAAGAAATGTAATAATCTCCATAGTTTTATGTAAAAATGTGGAATTTGCAAAGAAAAATGTAAGCTTGCCTTGCAAAAGAAAGTCTACTTGTGATTGGCTGTTAGAGGATACCATGATTCTAAATATTGAGGCCAGTACTGCAGAATAATGGTCTACAAGTAAAGATAAAGTAACGTACACATAAACACAGTCAACTTTCCATCAGATGAACTAAGTTCATGTAACAGGCTCACTTCCAGTGGTAATTGTACCCTAAAGAGAGCCCCACATCATACTTCCAGCTGTATAATGTAGGCTTTGCAGTTTGATGCTACAGCTGGCCCACAAATCTTATTTGGGCTAAAGAGACATAAGGCAGAATCTATACCTACACAGGTAATTTGGGCATGGTAATTGCGATAAATAAAAACATTCGATAGCTAAAGGTTTTCTAGACTTTGATTTCTTTCTTAAGGGTAAGATCCACATAGCAGTCATGGCAGAAGCCGTAATATTTCACTTTTAGTAGCACAGTTAATTCACACTGCACTCTTGTGGTTGGTACTGTGGGTATGGCATAATGTTAGACCTGAGTTGGCAGCAGAGTTGCTTGAGATGAATTTGAATCTGAAATTTTTATACAAAGAGGTCAGTAAATTTAAATTGATACACGATTGGAGTTTTCTGAGAAACACATCTGCCTCATCTGAATTTGAAAATGCCAGTCAAGATGCTTGGATCTGTGTTGTGTCCCTCTTTCAAAGTTATGAGGTCCTTTGATGTGGATGTTGATACAGATCTCACATTAGCCAGTGCCTTATTTGAACAAAGCTCCCTTACCCCTTAGTTTGACTACCAGCGCTGCTGGTCAGCTAAGCGAAAGTTGTATAGTCCCAGAGCTCAACAGAATTCCAGCAAATGGACGAACTTATTTCTGATGTTATGTCATGAGGGTAATATGTGGTCTGTTAAAGTTGAAGTCCAGCCATGTGGGAACCAGACTGCTCCCTGAAAATTTCATTTTTGGTTATGGGGATTATGGTATATTCTCTGTTTTATAACCTGTTTTATGGTTTTTGTTGTTCTTTGGCTGGACTGTGGGTATTGTATTATTGTAATTTCATTGGACATTCTACTGTAATCCTATTTGTACATTATGAGCATGGGTTTTCCTTTGCCTGCATGTGTTATTGCGAGGCTGGTGATCTGCTGTTTTCTTTTTGACAGCAGTGACAGTGTATTCCATTCATGTTTTGCTGCCACGTTCTTATGTACATTCCTCTTAAGGAGGCATTTTTTTTCTTTTATGGCATGCCTGAGATAATTTTGTTCTCCTTTGTTTGCATAGCTTATGGGGCTGTTTCACTTTCTGTCATTATAGTTGGTTCCTTATGATTTTTTTTATTCATTTTTACTGTCTAGTAGTCTTCAGTTTTTTATTTTGTTGGTTGTATCTTTTTTTGGTCATTCATAGATCTACTTTGGATTCAGGATAGCTTAGTCAATATAAAGACAGGTTATGGGATAGATGGCCCAGGTTCAATTCCCAGCAGTCCAAGATTTTTCTCTGCTCTGAAATGTCCAAACTGACTCTGGAGCCTACCCATCCTCATATCCAGTGGGTTCTAGGGGCAAAACGGCAGGGGTGTGAAGGTGACCACTCACCTCCATCTAGTGCCAAGGTCAAGAAAAATGGAGCTATACCTCCACTTCCCATATGTCTTCATGTCATAGGGCTTAACTAATTAAGCATAAGGACAACTTTATGTTTTGTAGATCTAGTTTGGAATTTGTGTGTTCACTAGATGGCACAAAAAGTAGAATATGGGAATAAAGATACTGAGTGAAGTTTTCCTATACAAAAGTTTCATGGTGCCAGTATTTCCTTAGGGTTAAAGTTCACTGGCTGTGAGGTTGCTGATGCTTGTCCAGGACAATATTTTAGAACCCATTTGTGGACAGAATAGTAGAACAGCATACACAGCAGATATTCCTTATATTTTTCTTCCTCTTTGCTACCACTTTGAAGCATAGGGCTGATTTCTCAGTTTCATTGATCATTTTTACAGATGGTAGGACTCCTTGGACGGGTGATCAGCTCATCGCAAGGAGTCTACCTAAACATAGGACAACACAAACACAGACTAAACACATACACACACACCAAGCATCGATGCCTTGTGTGGGATTCGAACCCACGATCAGAACGAGGAAGACAGTTCATACCTTAGACTGCTTGGCTACATTCCTTATAGGTTCTGTGAAATGTATTAATTTGAAAGGATAATGGTCGTAGTATTCCTTTTTATATATATATATATATTCTTGGCAGATCTAAAAGAAGGAAAATTATAGAATTAATCCCTGCATTTTTGAGGACTGTGAACTCTTGTTCTGAAAACCATAGGAAATTAACTTCAAGTAATTAACACAGAGCCACATTATTGTGATGCACTTTGAAATGTTAATGGATGGATCCTTCAGCGGCTAGTCTCAGGCCATGCTATGCTGATTTTAGAGACAAATTATTCACGACTCAATTTTTACTTGATACCAACAAACAGTGCTTCTTGTTATTGTGTGATGGCTGCAACAAAGACAATTAAGTCTTAGGAATTATCATCTGAACTCAATTTGTTATTGGTATTATTGGGCCAGTGTGTCCATATCATGTCACTATGATATTCATTGCAGTGTCTTATGTGTATTCTTACACTAAATTGTTAATATGGTGAATGAGATTGACTACTGCCATCTTCACTTTTAAGAGGACTAATCAATCTCTGTAGAAATAATGATAGTGTTCTTATTCAGTATTGAAAATGTTCTTGAAATTGAAGACAACTATAGCTCTGTTGTATAGTTACATTCTTATATATTTTAAATTATATTTATTGTTAGTGGGTTTAATGTTGACAATATTTCTGTGGTGTGTGAGGTTCACACAGCAGTGACTGCGAAGATTGCTGTCTTCTCAGACCCTGAAGGAAGAGACAGCATTCTCCCCTGAAACGCTGGTAAATATCTACCACCGTAGATTGCATCACATCTCAGAAAACAAAACTCTTCAGTTCTGTGATGTCAATTAAATGTATGTAATAATACAGTTAATTCTATAAATACCGTGTTCACTTAATTATGATACTGTAATAGATGCGTTTTGGCTTATGCAGCCATCATACCAGTTTTTCTGGAACCTGTATTTGGTGTTTTGTCACACTGTTTACAAGTTATATAATCTTCATTAAGAAAATAGTACTTCAAAACAATATTTCTATCTGTACGTCCACTCCCCCATATGCCTTCATCGTGTAGTGCTTAATTAGTTAAGCACAGGGACTAATTTACCTTTTTATTTTATTACTTTTCTGTTGTCTGCTCATTCCCATGTATTTATGTCACCTCTTGAATTTTTATTTTCACATGTAATTTAATGCAGATGAAGTGGCATGGCCATAGTACACTGTCAACACAAAACCTTTATTTCAGTAACAGTCAACTCCACAATATGTGATGTTCTTAAAGACTGTTTTCTAGTGGATATTTTACTGGACTGCAAGCATAATACAATTTTAGTATTGTATTTAATTACTGTTTTTCATGTTTGTTTGTTTTTGTACTGTAAAGTAAAATGTTCAGAGATACTCTCATTTAAAATATGTTAAAGGAATTGATATTAGTTAATAACACACTCACTCTCTTTTTCAAATACACACACACACTCACATGGGGGTGTGCACACATGCAAATTCTGTCTGTCCTGTCTTGAACATTAAGTAACATATTAAGATTATTTATTTTAAAAATTGTTAAACAGCTTTCAAATGAACAGTTTTGATTGATAATAAAGGAGCAATCAAAATTAACACTCACCAATTTCACAGCAGATGAGTGGGTGATGTGGTGATATGAAGATGATGAAGCAGAAATTTCAGTGGTGCAGAAGGGAACTGAATTTATTGAAGAAATTAGCAGTATTGAGCTTATCATTTATGGTCGTTGAATTTGACAGTGAAGTGTCACCAGAGGCGTGTGGTACATCTGCGGGCTGTGATTTCTTTAAAAAAATCTTTAATTTTTAGGTGCTTCTGAATCTCTGGCTTCTCATGCAACAGTAAGTGTGGCCGCACCATAGCTCAAACGGTTAGTCGCTGGCTTCCCACTGCGGCGGCCCAGGTTCAATCCCAGGTCTCCCAATCCTCATTCCACCAAATTCTCCATCATCATAATCACCTGGGGCATGCTATAATAGGCCAATCAGTGGCCGCCGTGCTGAGTGGACCCAGTTGGACTCCACCCCCCACTAAGCGGATTTAAAAGAAATAAACAGTAGGTGTGCATAAGAGGTTGCAGAGCTGGGCAAAATTTTCCCTTCCTCACTTGCATTCCCCTTCTGCCACCTACACCACACTCTGCTTTACCTTCTCCCTGCTTCCTGCTAGCCAACAAGCAAGTGCTGTTGATTGAAATCAGTCTAAATTAGTTGACTGCATTAAAATTAAATTACAATTTTGACACTCGCATATAATGATGAATACTTACACAGCACTTGGCTTTGCTTTCCTCCTTAACAGTCTGGTAATTCAGATCTCATACTCATTGTACAGTTCTGAATTATGCACCACATGGTTTCTTGAATTTGTGGGAATAGTTTCCTGATGAGACAAAACAAGTACCACTGTATTAAATGGAAAATATTTATGCAGATGCATAACTTGGCTTTTAAAAAAATCGATTTTTTGATTATTTTCATGAAACAATGGATGAATGTGATAAATAGCAAAATAAAACTAACAATAATTGTCACAAAACACAAGCCTGTAATGAATACAAGCTAAATGGATCAATATCTAGTCTGAACTCTTTCAGTAATTAGAACAGTACCACACAACTTGATGTGCGTCAAGGAATTTTCTTCACCTGACTTTGGTTTCACTGTTCACCCATTGCATATAACTGAGCATCCAAATTTGAAACCTCAATCAGTTATTCTTGAGACTGTACAAATCTGTACTTTCTTACCGCAGAACTACTCAGGTAGCTCCTTGTTAATCTGACAGTTCCATCTCATAATACACCTTTTGTATCTTCCGAACCACTGTGTTGGATTCACTGCTGAAGCATGTGGATAGTGGATTATTTCATTATAAATAAAACACAAGATAAATTGTGGAAGGGGTGTCTGCAAGTAATGTCACTTTTATGTCTAGGCATCAAGCCTAATAACCTAAGAAACACGACCCCATGGCTACTGTAGGACCGCAAGTTTCTTATGTGAAAACAGTACTGTCTTCTGGGATACATTGTCATCTAGTTTGACAGACAAGATTTCGCAGTTTTAGAGAAAATTCCTGAATCCGTATTCAGGATAGAAGAACATACGACATTGGTACTTATCCAGGAAATATGACTGTAACCTTGATAAGCCCACTAATCACCATGAGCACCCCACATCTTCTGTGTAATAATTTTCCCCCGGTGGGAAAGTTGGCAGTGTGTGGAACTGACAGCTTCCACAAGTTTTTAATTATGAGGATGTTTTCTAGAGCAAATTAATTTGATCCCCAGCTTTTATCACACGATGTTATATACTGTGGAGAGTTTTATCTTGGACGTTTCACTCAACTTTGTGTCTCAACAGATTGCAACAGAGTTTGTAGCTGAGAATCATGCTCATAGGTGTCATCTTGTACACATATTCTTGTCTCATTTAATTTAACGGGAAACCACCGAGAAATGATCCTTAAGGTAGTGTGGATTGTCATCACAATATGACTTCATGTCTCTTATGGCCGATTCCAGCTGGCTCACTTCCTGTGGGCATATGCGTCGGATGTCTTCATAACCAGCTTCTGGTGCTGAGTTGCATCTGGAACCAACAGAAGTTTATAATTAGCTGTATTGCCCTAACATATTGTGCAAGAACTCCTCACTGCCTCTCACTGACTGTAAACGAAGCTGTTCATGAGTACTGATGGTACTCTGAAAATGAAATCCAGATTACAGACACTGAATGTGTGAGATGCAAATGAACTGTGAATCAGAATGGAGCTGAAGCAGTCTATTGCTGCTTTAATTTAGTCAGCAGCAGTGTCATGTGCAGAGGCAACAAACAGCAACTGACAGAGTCAGTCCCAGGTGTGGCATGTAGACCCACTGCTAAGCAACAACCAAGAAATAAGCAATTATACAATAGCCGTTGCTATGCTATGCAACAGCTCCACAGACAGACAAGAATGTAACAATTGCCCTGCAACAGAGGAACGGTGTATTCTATGCGGTCCATGCCGAGACAGTATAAGCAGGGCAAGTTAGGAGCTGGAGTTAGTGGCTGTCACTAGGCAGCGAGGCAGATAATTTCCCACGGCAACGAATACTGTACTTCTTGTCTGCTGCCCTAGCAGTGGGCGATATTTTGTGACTGTTACCCAGCAATGGTTCTACATGCTACAGTATGCTCCTTGAGCTGATGGAAAGAACTCTTAAAGGTTTCAGGCATCAGTACAAGCTCTTTTTTCATTTTTATTACTCATCTGTTATTTCCATAAAATCCAAATACTTTAGGGTGTGGAAAAGTCATATTAGATAAATAAGCAGTGCAAAGAACTAAGTCAAGACATAAGAATAGAACCAGAATACAATTAATCTTACCGAGTAGTATATACAAAAATTCATCCACAGTATAAAATGGGTGACAACTCAAGAATTCTTTTAATTTTAATTTAAACCGTTTAATATCTTCATATAATTGCTTCAAATTTAGTGGGAGACAATTGAATAGTTTCATGCCCATATAATTTGAGCCTTTTTGATATAATGATAAACGAGTTGAGGGTTGATATAGATTTAGGTTGAATACCTGTCTAGTGTCTCTGTTATGTATATCAGATACAAAATAATATTGATCCATGCTATCAACCACAAAAGATAGTTGTGAATAAATATACAAAGATGAAAGAGTAAGAATTTTTAGAGTAGTGAATATCATTTTACATGAGATTCTATTACCAGCACCAGTTATTAGTCTCACTGCCCTCTTTTGCAAACGAAAGACATTGATAGCATACGAAGAGTTACCCCCCAAAATAATGCCATATCGAATAACAGAGTGAAAATAGGCATAATAAACCATCAGCAAAGTTTCCTGATTCACAAACGGTTTTATGACTGGGATTGCATAGCACACAGAGCTAAGTTTCGGGATAAGTGGGTCAATATGAGTTTTCCAAGTCAGAGTATATGCAATATTAACCCCTAAGAACTTTAAATGAAATGTACGTAATTAAAGGGTCCAATGTTCACATCTCAGAGGTTTGAAATTAAACAATAAGTACATTATTTTTCACATCAGTGCCTTTAAAAGGAGTGGCTAGTTGGCGCCCGACACTCAAAACAAGCACTAGGAGGCTCAAATATTTGATTTAGCGTTGTTCTTTTATATTCGCTCAATGCGTGAATTTCCCTCAGTCTTAAGGCCAAAACTCAAGAAAGAATATGAAAGAATAATCTTGATTTGAAACATGTTATTAATTGGGGAAGACCGCCTCTGTGGTCTAGTAGTCAGAGTTCCTGGCTACAGATCCAGAGGTCCGAGTTGGATTCCCGGCGCTACCAGATTTTCTGAGTAGTGGGTCTGGAACAGGGTTCATGCAGCCTCGTAAGGATAATTGAGGAGCTACTCGAATGGGAAAGTAGTGGCTCTGGCCTAGAAAATTGAAATTAATGGGCGTGGGGAGTCATTGCGCTGACCACACAACACCCTCTATCTGCAAAAGCTGGCACTAACTTCGCCGATAAGTGGCTGTCGCTCGGTTGGTATAGTTCACTTGCGGTCTAAAACCACGGAGTTTGTTTATTAATTGAGAAAGAATCGTCATTTCCAGGATTATTTCACCTCTATCATAATATTTTGCCTGTTGTCAGATAATGACTTTGTTGCTGACTTCCACTGCGTGACATTGCCATGCAAACTTACTGTCCAAGCTCTGCTATGATTTTTCCCAGATGTCTCTGCAGAACATAACACTTCAGTGGAACGATCAGAGATAAAGAAACCTCGCTTGGCGTGAAGTCTTCAAACCTGTGGAATTACAGGGCTGATTATTTAACCTTGGAATGACCAATATAAAGTATATCGCGCAATGGCTTAACAAGCCGATATAATATTCACATAATGATTGTGACAATAACAACATACCAATTCAGTTCTATTCCTTATTTGTTCACAAACGCAATTCATCAAAAAAGGTCCAGTCAATACAAGTTCAGAACAGTCCAGAAACGAACACGAGGACAAAGGAACAGACAAAAAGCTTAAGGTAATTTCAATTTAACGTAAGTTTCTAAAAATATCTACTGAATTATCGTCTTACAGACTTCATTAGCAGAAGAAGCACTTTCAGCTGAAGGGCAGTGACTGGAGGATCAACTGAAAGCGGAAACACACGACTGTCCCTAACTAACTAACTACATGGAGTTAAGCCCTTCCTAAGAAGCTGCCAGTTGTGCAGCTACTCAAATGGAACTAGAAGGTTCATTACCATGTTCGCAAGAGCCCAGCACTGGTCCCTATCCTGAGCCAGATCAATCAACTCCATACCTCCCCATCCAATGTCTCCGAGATCCATACTAATATTATCCTCCCACCTATGTCTAGGTCTCTTTCCTTCTGGCTTTCCCACCAATATCCTATATGCATTCCTCTTTTTCCCATGCATGCTACTTTCCCTTCTCATCTCGTCCACCTTGACTTGATCATTCTAATTATGTTTGGTGGAGAGTACAAGTTATGAAGCTCCTCATTATGCAAGTTTCTCTAACCTCCTGTCACTTCATCTCTCTTTGGTCCAAATATTCTTCTCAACACCCTGTTCTCAAACACTTTCAGTCTATGTTCCTCCCTTAAAGCCAGAGACCAAGTTTCACACCCAGACAAAACAACCACCACCACCACCAGACACATGGACAGAAGCAAAAGTGAACCCATGAACAATTGGACAATTGAATGGAAGTGTATGCAAAAAAATAAATATATTGACAAATGAATGAATGATTGAATAAATAGACGAGTCTGCATAATTACATCATGTATGCATGCCCTCATGAAAGAATCGACAGAAAGAACAAAAGCCTACCTGACAGGAAATATCCTCTTGTAATCGTTTCCCAGCTGCGGTCTCTCATGCATCTGCTGCAGTGCCAGTGTGAACACAGGGTCCAGAAAGTGGGGCTCATCATTGTGAACAAGTTGGTTGTTCAGCAGGGCATTCTGCCTTACCATGGCCCCCTCAGAGACCACAATTACCAGCTTCACGTCTGGACTCTGCAAATGTTGCGTCAGCCAGCCCGAAATATTCTCTGACACTTGCTCCATTTCATTTTGCTGCAGTGGATCCAGCACCTGGAGAACAATACCGGGGGTTACTTATCTCCCCGCTACCACCCTTTGTGCTGTGTGTGCGCATGCTTGACTAAGAGCACAGTAAGTAGACTTGTGTGGAAATGAGGGAAGATTATTGTATTCACACCAGTTAGATGGGTGTAGGTTGGACTGCCATGGGAAATTCTCGCTGATTTCTGGTGCATAATAAATAGATTACACAAAATGAAATTATAAATACCCATTCACCGAAGTACAAACTTGTAATTTAAATAAATTTCATGAAGTTGTAGGCTGTATGTCGTGATATACAAAGACAAGGGGATTCTGAATGTATGGTACGGAATTGTATACATTTTCGGATTTGTGACTCTCCTGTGCCGGATAAATCAACATTGTTTCCTTGACACAGGAACTAGAAATGACAAAAAGAAGTGTTTCTCTTTTCTTTCAGTGTTGGGTGATGAGAATCTGCAGGGAAAGATTTACGAGACTGCTCTGACAAGGCCACAGAGGAAACTTGCTCAGAAATATTCTCTATTGCCACAGATCTTCTATTTACTTCCAGATCGCACGTCAATTACTGGTGAAGATGGTGTCACAGATGTAGCCTGCTTTCACGTTGGTCAATATAAAATCACCCGAGTATGACATGTTGAATTGCGCATGCGTTTCGTGAGCGGCGATTAAAATGATTCGGAGTATCATGTCGAGTTCTGTATGCCAGTGTTTAATGGGTCCATTTTCTTCACCAAGACGGTATTTCAGAACGCTATGAATAACTGATGAGGAAGTTCAGTCCTCTCCTGAAAACTGAGCACCAAGTTTACTGGCTCCAGTAGGGGGGGAGGGTAGCACCTCATCATCATCAGTAATCTGTCAAGACGACTGGTCCACAGTCTCTTCCAAAACAATTCCTCCACTTAATGCGATCTAGAGCCTTCTCCTTCAAATGAGAATATCTTCTTCTGTCCCCAAGGTCATCCAGCATCTTCTTACGTCTTCTTCCTCGTCTTCTTGTCACTTCTATCCACCCATCTATCTTTCCTTCAATAACTTCTTTTAGAAGGCAGTTTCTGCGTAAAACATGGCCAATCCAATTAGCCTTCCGTTTTCTTATTTCGTGTAGGATATTCCTCTGCTCACTGACTCTAATTAACACTTCTTCATTTCTCACATAATCGGTCCAACTGATCTTCTCCATCCTTCTCCAACACCACATTTCGAAACTTTCCAGATGTTTCTGATCTACTGCCCTAAGTGTCCATGTTTCAGCCCCATACAGAGCTATGCTCCAAATGTAGCATTTCACTAGTTTCTTCCTCAAATTTAAGTCCAATTAAGGTAGTACCTTTGCTAGAGTTATTTGGAGATTGTATTATTATATATCGAAATATGCAATCACCGAAAATCTCTGTCACCTGAACGAGAAATGACCGTGGCATATTAAAGCCACGGGGAAACTACGCACAATCTGAGATTAACGCATCTTGGCCACTGTTCGAACTTGAAACCTCATTTCGGAGAAGGAATGGCATTTGTGACAAACAAGTCTGTAAGAGGATTCAACAAAGGTTATCAGCCTGTGCGTATCTGTTTATTTCGTTAAGTATAAATACTGAGCGCCGGGCTGATGCGGCAACTTCTCCGCCACCCCTGTCGTGCCGGTAGTCTAAACATTTCTACGAGGCGCTCTCTGTCTTTCAAGTGGTGGTTACTTCTCTCAGAAACTCGTCTTGTTCTTATTTGAAAAAACAACGTTTTGGAGAGTGGATTCTGCCTCCGTCTTCAGGTGGAACATATCCTCTTTCTTCACGCTAAAATCATGAGTGCCGCGGAAATCCATAGTGAATTATGCGCGGAGGTTTACGGCCGAAGGGCAATGAATGAAGGAACTGCCAGAAAATGGTGCAGAATGTTGAAAGATGGGCGGGCGAACAAATGTTCAGGATAAAGAGGGAAGTGATCTTGTTCAATGCTGACTATAAAAATTTGGGAAAGCGGCGCTTCACAATTTCAGAAGTTCCTTTTAAGACTTGTAGAAAGCGAACACGAAGAGAAGTTGGAGACCGATGAACTGTGAATGTTTGTCGACAGTTCGACAGCGAAATGGAGAAGCTGTGTGGGGGTCCGTCAAGCACAAATCTTCCATTGCCTTTTTTTTATTGCTAGTGGGGTGGGACTAAGTCCATTGTACTGCGGCCACTTCTGGCCTACTGGAATGAAGATTGGCAGGGGAAACCGAAGTACTCGGAGAAAACCTGCCCCAGCGCCACTTTGTCCACCACAAATCCCACTTAATCAGACCCGGGATAGACCCCGGGCCGCCGTGGTGGGAAGCCAGCGACTAACCGCTTGAGCTATGGCGCGGCCTTTCATTGTGTTAGTAAAATATCGTTTGAATTTATTTATTTTGAGCCGTTCATAGACGAGGCCTTAAGATTTAGGCCACCTTGTGGCTGTTATACCACGCACCTGCTATAGGATTGGACATCACTTGCGAATGATCCCTATAAAAATGATCTTTTGGCGAAGTGACAAAGTACAGCCAGTTCGAGGTGTGCCGTGGCTTGAAAATATTGGCACCCGGTGCACAAGAGTCCCGATATCTCAGTCGGTACAGCGATGGGCTACGGGCTGGACGGCCCGGGTTGGATTGCCGTCAGTGCAAAATTTGTCTCTTCTCCACAGCGTCCAGATAGACTCTGGGGGCCCACCCAGTCACCTATCCAGTCGTAACCGTGGGATCTATCCCCGGGGTAAAGCGGCCGGGACGTGAACCTGACCACTTACCTCACTCTAGTACCAAGTACAGAAAGATGGAGCTATACGTCCACTCCACCATGCTTCTTCATGGATTAGTGCTTAACTAATTACGCACAGGGGTAAATTTAATGTGCATCACTGCACAAAAATATTACTGGAACGGCATGAAAACAAGATGGCGTCAATATTAATTTCGATTTTGGCTTTACTGCATTTTTAACCAACTACAAATGACGACTGTTTATCTCAGCTTCAATTCTGCTGGCAATTTCTGTCAGGATATAGTTCGCCAAATTACGTAAATGCACTGATATATTTCGCGTAATGACAGCGTAAACAGTGAAACAGAAAGCACATGATTTCAGAATGTCACGGAGGAGACGGGCAGAAACACAGGCAGACACGAGTACTTGCTTTCAAGTTCCCGAAACTCTGGAGCAGTTGTCCCAGCGCCCGAGCGACCTCACAGAACTGTGGGCAGTCCCTGGAATACAGCAGCAATACTTTCTGAAGGGTCGGACTGCTCGGCCATGGGGAGGCTGCTTCTGGTTCTTTTGTGTCCACTGGTTCCGGTCGGAAAGGATCTGCAACATGTTCGGCTTGGTTACACGTACCTCGGCTCGCCTTGGCGACAAGCCCCTTCAAACTCACGACTGAACACTTGCTTTCATAGTTCGTACGTAACATCGTCTCTGATGAGAAGATGAATCTCTCGTTTACAATTGCTGCTGGTCTCGCCAGCGCAGTCACTCTCAGATCCGAGTCCCGCGGCACTAAAGGCCAAATTTTACTGTCTCACTATAAAAGATTATGAACTCCGTCCAGTGTGACTGATAAATGTTTTTCATCCTTGACATGTTTCTTTCGGAGCGACCATCTTCAGGAGGACATATCAATACTTGCGGAAACTACTATTACAATGTGATTGGTCATTATCAATACATACAGACAATACTATTTACAATGTCATGAATATAAAATCTTAGCCTTTAACCACAGCGATATGCCTGAAATTACTAAAATATGTATATATTATTATTATTATTAGTTAGTTAGTATGTATGTATTGATAATGACCAATCACATGTAGTACTCGTACGAGTATTAAAAAAGGAGAAAAAACATTTATCAGTCACCTGGGATGGAGTTGATATTCATTTATACTATTTCTAGTGTGACGGACCAGGATGAACCAAATCAAATTTGCTGTCTCAGATTCGAGACCCCCCCCCCCCACCTGGAGGGCCAGGTCTCCATATTTTTATCGCTCAGGAACGAGGTGGCCCAGTTATACCCCCAGGCACTGGGTTCCTTTTCTTCTGCTTCTAAGACTCGCAAGGTCACGGTGGAGATATTCAAACCTGCCTCCACAAGGTGTCAGTAGAGACCACAGTCATTTTGCTTGTATGCATTGTGACATGCAAACAGGCGACAAAAGAGCCGTTGCTAGGGAACAGCTCTGTGGACACGTTGTTTCCCGGTAATGACAGAACACGTAATAATGGAAGAGACGTTTTCTGTGCGGTCCGTGCTGGGATCAGAGAGAGCGCCCCACAAAAAACAAAACCGTAACTGTCAAACAGTAATAAATATCTAGTCTTGAGCCCCAGATGGGGCTCGAAACCAAGACTTACTGACTGACCGACCGTCAGTCGCAATGTAACTTTGACTTTTTGAAAATAAAGCTGTCCCTGTGCTTAATTACTTAAGCTCTATGCCATGAAGACATATGGGGGAGTGGAAGTATAGCTCCACCTTTCTTGATCTCGGCACTAGATGGAGGTGAGTGGTCAGCTTCAAGCTCCTGCCGCTTTACCCCCGGGAAAAAACCCCCTTACACGTCGGATGGGAAGCTGGGTGGGCCCCCAGAGTCGATCTGGAGGCTGTGTGGGAGAGAAAAATCTTGCACTGCCAGGAATCGAACTCAGGCCATCCAGTACGTAGCCCATCGCTATACCGAATGGGTTACCGGGACTTTTTGTGCAACAGTGCTTTACTCCCTGTCACCGTGCTGTCTGGACATCTGTCGCGGTAAGGTCGGGGGACAACATTGAAAATTCAGACGCAGTAAAACTTTTCTACAACAATAAAATGTACAGTTACATATGCTCTCACCGTCGCAGTACCGTCTCTTCACAAATACAGCCACCAATACAACGGCCACTATTGTTCCAGTTGTTAACAAAATGACGCCTGGCTGGACAGACTCATCACTAGCTGTGGGTGTCGGTGGTGGCGCTGCAATCAGATATTCACACTGATCAGTAATTCATTACGATTCAATCTTCTAGTATCAAAGGCCTCTCCGAATTTCCAAGGAGATACATCTACACTTGACTCTGCATTACATCGCTACTGGGGAGTCCTGAAAATGAGCTCTGCTGCTGCAGTTCGAAGCATGTCCTCCCTTTTTGTAGTTCTGGGTCTCTCTGAACCTCTATCGTCTCTCTGTATGCAATTAACGATTCGTTAATCGCAATTAATGGCACGAGGAAAGCAACGCGTGTGAAAACAAGCGAAAGACTGATGCCTGTAAAGCAGATCTGTTTCTACAACTATTGTGTTTCTGGACTTTATCCATCGTCCAATTTTTATTTAAAACACCGTACAGTTTTTACAGTACATACAAGAAAAATAAGGAACCCTCCCACATGCCTCTGCTGCACCATGCGATCAGTCAACCCAGTGTGGACATCTCCCCCATCTGGACTCCCATTATCGCGGCAGAAGTCAGAAAACTGCAACTCCGTCCGGTGCAGATTGAGTGTGAAAACTCTGTTTTATGTTAGTATCATATAGAGCATAGCGCAGTCGGTATAGCGACTGACTACGGGCTGGACGATGGAGGGGTTGGAGTTCGAGTCCCGGTTTGGCAAGAATGTTCTCTTCTCCACGTCATCCAGACAGGCTCTGGGGTCCACCCTACGTCCTATCCAGTGGAAACGGTGGGGGGGCTCTTTCCCGGGGGTAAAGCGGCCGAAGCGTGAAACTGACCACTCACCTCCAGCTAGTGCCGAGGTCAATAAAATGTGGAACTATACATCCACTTCCCCATACGCCTACATGGCATAGAGCTTAATTAGTTAAGCACAGGGACAACTTTACCTTAACATACACAGAATTTATCTCTCTAGTGATGACTTCTGTTCTGATACTACTCTGGTGCTAGGCTTCATACGTGTAGATTTTTTCAATGTTTTAACATTTTCTCTTAACTCTCGCAGATGACTTGTGCTGTGCTTGGCTTATACTTGGCTTATATTGATGCTGGTGTCTGGAGATAGGGACTAGCTCTATCCACTGAGCCCAACTGAGTTGGTTCCACCCGAAGAGGAAGACAGAATCCGGTCTCCGAAACGTTGTTTAAAATAAAAACAGGACTCTCGATAATGTGCAAAAACACAAGAGTTGTATTAATATACCATCGTCACAAACTTTTGGATCTTATTCAGATATACACGTAATACGTTACTCCTGTTGAAAAAGACGCTTATCAAGAAAATACAAAACTTATAAAAACAAGTTCATCGGATGAAGCGAATATGAAAATAACTCTAATGTTTGACATATAAATCTTCTGTGTTTGTGACGTAGTAACATATAATATCTACCGTATTAAACGTTAAGACCTGTGTCTTACTCACGTGGATCTTCAATCTTAATTGTCACTGTGTGGATGGCGCAGGCGCCGTGTAAAACCTGATAATTAGAAAAATATTGGCTTCGTTACTGCAGGCAACTTTGTTCAATAAAACATGCACAGTATATGATATCCATGGAAAGTTACACACTCGCAGACATTTAAATCGAATCAGTACAGGATAGAGGGTAACGAGATACAGTAGCTGACTGACGCACTATGTTACAAGCCGAAGGTCGCGAGATCGATTTCCGACGAGGTCATTAGATTTTTCAGTTGACCTAACCTTTCCAGCTGCACTATGGACCTGGGGTCGAATCAGTCTCTAACAGAAATGAGTACCAGGAATATTCCTGGGGGGTAAAGGGCGGCCGGCGAGTAAAGCTGACTTCACCGCCAACTGTGAGCCGACTGTCTAGATAATGTGGGAGCCTCGACGTCTCACAACTGTATGGGCCTCCACAGCCTGTTACAGGAATATTTCTTTACCTTTTAATAGTTCTGAACTTCTTTTTCAGACGTAAATACAATGGCAGTAACAAGTATCCCAGATGTCATGACAAAATGGAAGCCCAACAGCGAGAAATACTCTCAAGCAAATATCTTTTAAATGAGTGGACGGCGACCACAATGGAAATAACATTAAGATTTTAATTCCAAGTTTAATTCATTTTAATTAGGAAATATCGCGTTGACACGTGAAACGCAATTTTGACATATAGTGCTACAGTTTTATCAAGATGGAAGACACCTGATGATGGCCGCAATATGCAGTGCGGAAGAAGGGTAACAGTACAAGAAGTTGCAATTAAGACGGGAATATATGTGTACAAAAGATTCTAAATATTGTCAATATATTCCTGTAAGTTTGTGTTCTAGCCTGGAGACCACTTATCCCTACCTCTTCGCTTAATGATAAATTCTGTAGCCGCGAGGCAGAGAGGAAGCAGAGAACCAGCGATTGTTAGAAGCAGTTGCCAGTAAACGTTTACTAACACGCTAAGAACACTGGACTGTGGGCTCTAGCGATTTTTAAAGCATGGAGATGAGCGGTAATGTTACAGTTATTTGTAGTTACGACCTGTAAGTGGTCAATAAATCCAATTATCTAAGTAAGATTTGAGGTTTTCACGGCGGTGACTATGAAGAAAGCCGTCTTATGTGATGTGGCGCCGTGTAGATATTGTATTAACCGACGTCTCGGAGGAACGTATCGCCTCCATCTTCAGGGTAGAAGAAAAGAGAAGAAAAATGCGAGAGCGAGGAACCAGCGTGAGCAGGTGCTGACTGAATATGTTGCGCTGATTTTGCTGTCAAAACCCATCTCTACTATGGCACATCAGAACTGGAATCTCCACAACTTCACAATAGTCCTCCTACGTAATATTCTTAAAATTAATTCACACGTAGATTGACATTTTGCTAATTTGTCTGCTAATCATGGCTACACTTATACGTTGCTTCATTCACAACATAATTTAAATGTGCCATTTGTTCTACAGCGTTTTTATTTATGACTGTTTCACGCATTTCACATACTCTCACTGCAAGCATGCAAATACTTACGCGAATGCAATAGTAGCGGTACTTCAGATCGACGAAGTACTGGGGTTTGGAGAACTGGAAAAAGCAAAAGAAACGGTAATAGTTCAAACTTGGTACAAGAACGTCAAACGTCACTTGAACATCCTGTATAAATGTGAGTCTGGTTCTTGCAATGGAAACTTTGCAGTTTTCAGAGAATGTCTCAGGAGGAAAGGTCAATGTTCTGGGATGTCACAGTATCGGTCATTCTAAACGCGCGTCCACATTACTCGTGCTCGTGTTCGTGCTCGTCTGGCTTTTACTTGTGCTCGTAAATCTTCGTCCACACTACTTCAGTTGCTCGCCAGGCTTCGGCGCGTGAGGATCCGTATATTTACTCGTAGTGTGTATAGGCTGTAGTCGTATTTTAATTTATTGGCTATAGTTTTTAAATTAAAAATTTTAAATTTGCCTGTCTCGTGCTTTGTCATATCGTCCACATTACTCGCGAGCATAGCGAGTCACACGAGCACGAGTAATGTGGACGCGCCTTAAGCAAAAAGTGTATATGTACATGTGTCCTATTCCGAACGGTTTCCGGGATAGAGGCGTTACGCTCTACAGATCCAAAACTGTGGATAAGAAAGAGATATTACGTACCGTTTCTAATTTACTGTTCGGTGCAGTTACCTAGTGTAATACATTTCCGAAAATTCCACCGTCAACAGAAATGCACTCTGCAACTCGTGTGAGGACATGGCGTGTTGCTCGTCTGTACAGTGTACAGTGCAATAGCTCTAACTCGGAAACCGTTCGGAATAGGGCACATGTACATATACAGTTTTGCTTAGAATGACCGTCAGTATGACCTCCCAGAATATGAACCTTTCCTCGTGGGACACTCTGTATATCGAACAATCTCAAAACATTTAATGATTCTTTATAATTTTGGATCTTGACATGAAGTCTGTTCTGACATGATCAATGCTTACATCTTTCATTGCAGAACTGTCCAAAGGCATACTGCAATTGCTGCTGCTTCCGTCGCAGTTTATTTCACAGTCTCCACCAATCAGATTTAACTTCACTGCTCGAACTCCGGAAACAGGGTGGAATACAAACGCCAATTTTGCACTGAAAAAATCACGTAAATTTGAATTAAATTCTATATTGTGGCATGTAGACCAGTTGCTAGGCAACGATTGCTAAACAAATAACTAGACAACGGCGGTTACTAGGCAACGCCTGTAAGCTGCAACAGAGGAACGGTGTTGTTCGTGCCGAGATGTTATAAGCAAGACAGTTAGTGAGGTGTGAGTTCAGTCAGTGAAGTGAAAAGTAGTTGGTGAGTGAGTGAGTGAGTTAGAGAACCGCTGCGGTACAGTCCTTGTGAGCTGTTGCTGTCAGAAGCTGGTAATTGAGGTATGGGGGCAGTTTGGGAACCCAGAGGAAGAGGAACGTCCGCTGTTGGAAGCCGTTACCAGACAACGACTGGTGAAGAGACAGCAGGCAGAGGCTTTAGTGTGTACTTCAGTGAACTGTAAAGTGTGTGAATTAGTAAAACAGTTATAATTACTTGTAGTCACGGATCTGTAAGAAACCAATAAATCAAATTACCAATCCAAACCCCGTCTATAGTCACACAACAAAAAATTGTGACAGTATATTGAGTTCTTGAACATGTGCCTGACTACACAACACAGCATCTTTGTTTACCATTGCCAGGAAATATCTCACTGCTTGGAAACTCCAGACCTCAACATCACACAACTTCAAAATTTGATTCTGCACTCCAATTCACATCCTCTTTCCCATTATTCTGTCATTACATCCCTCAAAATGGCCGGTTAGTTTTCCAAATCAAAATTTTTTCCACATTTTCTGTTTGTCCCACTATTTCCACATAGCATCAACATGTTTTTGGGTTCCAGGACCGTTACGCGCTCCTAAACTGGACATGGAAATTGAATTCTCACTTTCTCTAAATAAGCACACTAATTTTACTGGAAATATTTTATTGTTTATTTATGTTACTGTGAAATTTTCTTGTTCTTGTTTCCTCGCATCCATAAACTTCATACCCCGGTTTCGCATACATTTTGGTTTTGGAACACTTTTCAGTATTTCGGTGAAATTCTGGCACAGATAGAACAACTTCAAGGCTTGCATGAGGAGAGGGGTACCCAGCGTTCAGGAGTACCGGCAGCTGGGAGAGCTGGCCTCGAGAGTGGGCTGTAATCAGATTGTCACTGCAACATTCATGCCTGCCGATTTTGAAGCACGGTTTATGATTGTCTATTGTTTCAACATGTCGGCTTGCATGACGGCCATTACTGCTGGCCACGTGTTACTTGTCTATATCCACAAATAATATACACGTCATAACGTTATAATTTCACACGCCTCAGAACGCTTAGTTCTATGTAGCAAGAAAAACTTGAAGAATGACAGAACCATTTACATTCGACGAGAAAATGGTTTCAGAATTCATATTTTATTGCTGCCATGTCTATACCAATCAAAATGCTAATTGTATATAGTTTAACTTTCTCACTTCTCAAATAATAGGTTTCACTTATGTTTATGGAGTTATTATTATAATTATTGAGTTATTATTATTTCTGATGCTGATGTCTACAAAGCCATCAAGAGACTAAAACCATCAAAATCTGTTGGACTTGACGGTATTCCCGGTTTTATCATCAAAGGTTGTGCAGATATTTTTATTCCTATACTTAGNGACTTTGTAATTCGTTCTGTGCTGTTCAGATTGCGCGTAAATAAAAACGAATTGAATTATTATTATTTCGATTGTTTCGTAGTAAATATTCTTGAAGAAATTAGTGCGGGCATGTGCCACACCTAAGGAACGCAGCTTCTTCTAGGAACGGGTGTGACCTGTTGCGATTGAGAACTCTCCACAACGGTTGACACTGGAGCTTCCAAACATCTCGAAGGTTTCTGGATGCTTCATCTGTATTTAAAGACGACGTGAGCGCATAACTGAACAAGAGAAACGAGACTTAATGTCATATTTCCCGACAATAATCCCTTAATCACTGAAAGAAGTGCTGTGGCCGTATGTGGCCTTACAACTTACCCTTCACTTGTGTATACCTGAAAGGAGTAGTTGCTGTTGTGCAGGTAACCGCAGCGTCCGCCATCTGCAACAGATATGATTCTGAATCTGCTTGAACTACATCATATCAAACAATTATTCCTATTCTAACATAGGTAGCAAGCTGAAGGCTCGTTATTACAGAATACAGATTGTGTTCAGCAATTAGTCTGAACTTGCAGGTTTTACTGCGCTCAGCGCAGCATCGTGAAGTAAACATTAACCAATGACTGTTTACTGGACACGAAGTATCTCATGTCAAAACGTAATTAGACATTCGTGCTATAGTTTCGGGGCACGAAAACTTTCAGTAAGCTTTAGGAAACATTTCTGTTACGTAGAAACGGGCATCAAATGAATTATTTCTTTAAAAATTAGTGATAAGTTTGAATGGCGTGTCTTAGCCACTGATGTTATATTTCAGCATCCTCTTGCACTTCGAGCCATGTTAGGTGGGTCCCTTGTCACGACGGCATGGCGTGTCCTCAGGATGCGGATGGAGACGCCCTCCAGGTATGGAGGGAAGCTGCTAATATATTGAATAATCAGTCGCGGAGAGCCGACAAGGGGTGATTCTCCAGCTTGGGGGTTTGGCGTGGAGCTAACAACTCCTCACCGTAAAAAAATAAACTTGTTACAAACATTCTCAAGAAACCTCGGAACTAAACGGATTCCTTGGACAAACGAATATGCCATTAGGAAGGTCCAGGGAAACCAGGTGGGACTGAAACTAAATGGGACGCATCAGCTGTTGGCCTATGCCGATGATGTGAATCTACTGGGTGATAATGTAGATACCATAAAGAAAAAAAAAACACACACTAACTGACGCAAGTAAAGAGGTTGGTCTAGAGGTAAAGACAGAGAAAACTAAGTACATGTTGCTGTCTCATCACCAAAATGCAGGGCAAAATCATGACATAAAGATAGGAAACAGATGTTTTGAAAATGTGGCGCAGTTCAGATATTTGGGAACGACGGTAACAAACCGAAACCTGATTCAGGAGGAAATTAAGAGGAGATTGAACTCGGTTAATGCTTGCTACCATTCGGTCCAGAGCCTTTTGTCTTCTCGTCTGCTGTCCAACGCATAAAATATAGTATATACAGAACTATAATTTTTCCTGTGGTTCTGTATGGGTGTGAAACTTGGTCTCTAACATTAAGGGAGGAACATAGACTGAGGGTGTTTGAGAACAGGGTGTTGAGGAGAATATTTGGACCGAAAAGAGATGAAGTGACAGGAGGTTGGAGAAAACTGCATAATAAGGAGCTTCATAACTTGTTCTCTTCTCAAAGTATAATTAGGATAGTCAAATCAAGGAGGATGAGCTTGGCAGGGCATATAGCACCAATGGAGAAGAGGAATGCATATAGGATATTGGTGGGAAAGCCAGAAGGAAAGAGACCACTGGGAAGACCAAGACGTAGGAGGGTGGACAATATTAAAATGGATCTTAAATAGATAGGATGGTATGGTATGGATTGGATTGATCTGGCTCAGGATAGGGACCAGTGGAGGGCTCTTGTGGACACGGTAATGAACCTTCGGGTTCCATAAAATGCGGGGAAATTCTTGAGTAGCTGCAGATTTGGCGGCTCCTCAAGAAGGGCTCCGCTCCATAAGTAAGTAAATTGCAATTCGAGATTTTGTGCCGTCTAAGAGTAACATCATTCACTGTTATGTCTTCATATCACTTTACTGAACACTACATTTCTCGGCCTAACTGGCCACCTTCAGGTGTACAGGTTATGCTGCTCACTTTATCCTAGTATAGTTGCCTCTGGTTATTTTGCTTTTATGTGGGTTACCATCAGTTTTATTTTGAGGTCCTTGTGTTGCACGTGGTTGCTTTTGGTTTGTTGCTTGTGGATGCCTTCTTTCTGGGGCGGGAGTGCAGTGGTGTGTTAGTCGACCATCATAGTCGTTCGTTGCGGGTGTTTTCGTGACGTCAGTGAGGACACGACTGACGTAGGTAACAGACCCGCGTAACAACATTCAAATTCCAGAGTAACTCCACTTAGGAATGGTAAGCCCTGTCACGTGATCCTAGTGTTCGACACGTGAAGTCATGTAATGAGATTTGAGGCTGTACATCAATGAGCATCAAGCTTACAGGTCTTCAGGGATGTGACGCAGAATAGTTTGGTGAATATGAATCCTGTGGCGTGCCGCCTAAAAGCTGGACTATATGACGTCCATCGCTGCGCAACGGCTGCAATGGGAACGCATACTTCAGCGGCAACAAATACATGGAAAGACAACTACTTGAGGAACTGCCTAGACAACAGAGACAAAACCGTTGAGTTCCCACGGCAACGAATATTTTAGGTAACATGCGAAAGAGAACCCTTCGACAAGGGGTTCTCTCAGAGGTACACAAAGAGCTACTTAGGAGGGTAGAAGATCAGATCGGATCGGATCGGATCAGATCAGATCTGAAGGCAGACCAGAGAACACCGGATCAGTGGTCGTATCAGATATGACGGACTAGTCAGGTTGCATCGTCTTGAGGAAGTTACGTCCGAGTGATTGTAAGTGTAAATGTAAACAAGTGGCCCAATAAAACAGCTTCGTGTAATGCAGAATCCACAATTATTTGTCACGGAAACCCGGACACGTGACAATACTTTGGGGAAAATTGGTACCTACTTCAGGTGAGCAGTCAGTCGGAGTTGTCGTAGGAGAACATATCCACGGGAAGTTCGTAGTAGAAGAAGAATTGGAAGTCAGCCTGTGAAGCTTTAGTGTATGATTATAAGATTCAGTAACAATTGGACTGCTTTAATTCTGTTACCAGGACACGACTAGTGAAGACAGAACCCTAGTGCGTCTGCAACGGTGAACTGTAATTGTGTAGCTCAGTGATAACGCTGTATTGCTTGTAAGTATGATATGATTGTATACGGCATCAATAAATCGAATCATCGAATCCAGAACCCGTTACTTTTAGCCACGGATCCCGGACACGTGACAATATTATTGCCTAAAATAATAATGATGCGATTTGTTTACAAGAAGCTGTGCTGTAACAGCTTGACAGATAAGAACATTTCTTCACAGTTATGTCGAGTCGTCCGGATTTGCAAACGTTACTCTGTATTTACGTTACGCAAATTTTCAATATTTACTTCAAGGCGTTCCCTAGAGCGCAGTGATGAATACGGTCATCATGCGCATGCGCGTCGCATTGCAAAGCTGTTAGGGCGAGATACAATTAAGAATTTGATGCAATTTTAAATTTACACGACGCCAGAGAAATGCAATTCAATTTAAGTTGCGTATACCTTAGCGCTCTGAAAATGTTATCCGAGTATATGACGTAATGCTACTTTCTCTCGAACACACAGATGTTTTCATAAAAGTGTAATGTTTACATAGCGATAAAACGCGATAATTGCACTTTGTAAGCCTAAATACACAGAGAAATTTCAATCTGTCGTTCTTTCAATTCAGTTCAATTAAATGAACAAATGAAATGGAGTCATGTATCGGTATAAAATCATGCAATCGAAGCCAGAAGTTTTTCACTGATATCGCACTGAACTGCTGGCATTAGCTAAAATGTCTAAAAGAAATTTTTCGTCACAGTGCCCTGCAACAAGTGCCGAGGTCAAGAAGATGTGGATCTCTATATCCACTCCCCCATGATGCTTGATTAATTAAGCACAGGGACAACTTTACCTTAATGACAAACACACGCTACGTGCGTACAGGCAGTTTCACAAGCCAAATTAAAGAAAACAAAACAACCAAACAAGCGGGAATACAGTCTGTAGCTACGATTTACCTCGATAGATTTGCATGTTCTCTGCAGATACGTCACGAAAGAAGTCCCACTCCATGCTTACGTACTCTTCAGGGTGCGGCGTGGACCCGACTTCGAANATCTTTCCTCGGGGGTAAAGCGGCAGGGGTGTGAAGCTGCCCACTCACCTCCAACTAGTGCCGAGGTAAAGAAAATGTGGATCTATATATCCACTCCCCCATGATGCTTGATTAATTAAGCACAGGGACAACTTTACCTTAATGACAAACACACGCTACGTGCGTACAGGCAGTTTCACAAGCCAAATTAAAGAAAACAAAACAACCAAACAAGCGGGAATACAGTCTGTAGCTACGATTTACCTCGATAGATTTGCATGTTCTCTGCAGATACGTCACGAAAGAAGTCCCACTCCATGCTTACGTACTCTTCAGGGTGCGGCGTGGACCCGACTTCGAACTGCCAACATTCGTCCGTTCCGTTTATCCCGAGGGATCCTGGAACAAAATGAAGATTCAGCTATTCTTATATGTGCTTATATATCATACTACTGATGAATGAATATGTGAGATACGTACATCTGACGAAAAGCCAAGCATATTCATAACAGACAGACCCACCTTCTCGTCAGAGAGGAGGTTACGTAAGGGCATTAATTCTGTTTACTGTGATTCACAAACTCCGCCGTTTTCTCACATTTGTTGAAGTCTAATTCTGTATTGCTGTTCTTGGAGGCCATTCCGTGTTTGTTACTGCTCGAGGGTGGCACGCTTTGTAGCGTCCTCGTACTAGTTTCTTTAAGAATTCTCACTACAAAATAGCAAAAGAAATAATATAATAATAATATTAATAATGATAAAGGTAAAGCTATCTCTGTAACAGGCCGTGGAGGCCCATAGGGTTGTGAGATATCGAGGCTCCCACATTTCTAGACAATCGGCTCACACATGGCGGCAAGGTTGTCAGCCTGACGCATCGGCCGCCATTTACCGCCAGGAAGATTCCTGGTACTCATTTCTGTTAGAGCCTGAGTCGACCCCAGGGCCATAGTGCGGCTGGAAGTATTAGTTCAATTGAAAATTCGAGTGACCTCGTCGGAAATCTAACCCGCGACCTTCCGGAGTGTATTCAGTTCAGATATTCAGTATTGAGCGGTGGGTTTCGCCATGCACCGCGACTAATAGTCTATTGTACGTCCCCCCTTTTAATTTCTACTGTCTCCATACCCTACCGGTACTGGTGCTCGCTATCAGCCCCTTTCTGCCAGCGAGGTTTCGGCCTTCTACTGGCAGTGGTATCTGATAATTAGTCCCTTTCTGTCAGTGAGGTCGTCCCTCCTCTGGCAGTGGTACCTAATGCTTCCCCATCTACCGGAGGCATTGGAAACTATTTGGGAGGGAACCTTTTTGCCTAATTTAGCTCAGAGTTCTCCTAGAGATATGAGGTTCTTTTACGACACGGAACCCACGGCTTAAAGTCCCTCCCGGGTTTGAACCCGCGTACCTTGAGTCATGAGGTGGGAACGTTACCCCTAGACTACGGAGGCCGCCTTTCCGGAGTGTAACTCAACTAACTACCTCACCTCGTGTCCCCTAACACTTCAGAGGAAGTCAGAAAACCAAGTGTTAGTGGCAAAACACGAAATGACAAGTGTCACACAACAGAGCAGGTTGTGACAATATGTTCCTACTTAAAAATGGCTTTACTAACTTAACATATAACGAAGACAGTGCACCTCCCTCTTCAGAAAGTCCGTTCCTCTCAGCCTTTTGAGGTATATAGCGGCAAACATTTTGAGAATTTTTTTTATTATAGGATCTGGAAAATCTGAGAATATCTCTTGGATAATTTGTGTTGGCTATCTCATCAAGTGCTCCTAGCATGCTTTCTTTCCAGGCTGCTATCTCTGGAATTACGTCATCTGCTAATTCCGTGACGTCTATTATTATCCCGCAGGTCAGAATGCTGTTGGCACATTGTTTCCAGTTCAGCTCATCTGTGACATTACCTTTTCCGTGCCAGAGTGCAAAGAAGGTGACGTTGTTGTAGACTTCTCCATCCACTCTGCCCTCTCTCAGTACATAAGAGTCATACGGCTCGGGTTCGTAAGCGATATCCTTGCATTCTGGAACAAAACGAGGTTCAAAATACGGCCACTGGCTTTCAAACCACACGACTTCATACATACAGACATCCATTTTACAAACAAGAAAATATAATCAAGATTTTAACTCTGATATTTTAGATCACTGGTTTCACAACGTAATTATATTATTATTATTATTGCGGTTTTTTTTTTCAAAGCAAGAATTGTGGAGCTAAAGAAACAGCCGTTGCTAGCGAACGGCTCTGAAACACTATTCTGTTCTAGGCAACGGCCGCGAAACAGACAACGGACCGATGTTCATTGCTAGTCAGCAGATTCTTAATAAGAATAATCGGCCGCTGCTAGGGAACGACTCGGTAAACGCGTTGCCGCGGATATGGATACTCATGCAATATGGAATGGCGTTATCCGTGCGGGCCGTGCCGAGGAGTTATAAGGAAAACAACCGGGGCAACAAAGTTAGTTCTGCGGGAGAGGCTGTGATGAGAGGACTTGAGAGCGGAAGCTGAAGAATCTCCAATGTTAGAAGCCGTTACCAGGGAACGGCTAGTAAGACAGCAGGCTTGAAAAGACTCAGCAGGTGCTGCCGTGATTTGTAAAGTACGGAGATTAGCGATGGCTCTGTAATTATGTGTAGTTCACAGTCATGTAGATAAGTCATCAATAAATCCAATATCAAATCCAAAACGCTGTTGATAGTCACTCACATACTACGTGACAATAATATTATTAATTATTAAGTTCTTTGTGTATTTCTCTTCATTTTTATTTTTGTTTCTTTTCTCCAGTGCTTGCCTGAAATTTGTCTGCCAGCTGTTGCCAAGCACTTGACTTGATGGACAGCACCGACTAAGTCTTCGCGTCATAGATTCCCTTACAATTCTCTCTTTTTGCTTCAGTTGTCCTCCTTATAAACCCCTTTGCACGGACCGAGTAGAAAACATCGTTTCCAGCAGTTCCTCTATTGTTGTAGTTCAACGTTTGCTTATTAAGAATCTGGTGCTTAGCAACGGCTGTTGTCATGTTGCCCGTTTCGCGGTCGTTGCCTATAAACGGGTCTATATGCCACATTATTTTTTGTGCTTACAGAATACTAAATTGTTCGTCTGTGAGGCAGTCATTATTAAAGGTGTTTGTATTTTATGTGGTTTCATTAACTCCCTGAACAATATTCAAAACGAAAACCTAGAAGCAGAAGTCAGAATAAGGAAGCAAAGTACTGTATATGAGGAGCAACGGGCAGAGAAGTGTTGTCTTGTTGGGAACAAAGGTAGTGCCACATGCGTTAGCGTGCTCAAATAGTAACAATTCAGACGATATTGACACTGGCCATCCCCGAAAAATACCCTCAAGAACTCAAAAAGCACCGCATGACTTCTCTAGTTCAGACGTCAGAAGTTCAACAGACCACATACACAGAATATCCTGAATGACGCAACCCGCTTAACTGCGAGGTTGTATGAGTCGTTCACTGAAGGATACAGTTCTCAAAAGTGTCGTTGCAAGAACTGGGCGAGGGAGTTTCAATCGGATTACGATACAGAGGAGAGTAGCCGATGTTTCAAAATACGTTGAACCTCAATGGTGAGCAAGTACACAGCATGTAACTTTGAAGGGATGGGAAAACTTGCAGTTGTTAACCCCACTGGAAAACCTCACAAAGTGACAACATTTCAGTAAAGGCATTACTGCGTGCTCTTCTTGGGATCTTCTTAGCTTGTGGGCTAATTAACTACATGGAGCTGAGCCGTCAATTGTGCAGCTACTCAAGAATTTCCCAATATTTTATAGAACCAGAAGGTCCATTAACATGTTTAAAAGAGCCCTCCACTGGTCCCTAACCTGAGTCACATCAATCCAGATCATACCACCTCATCCTATTTAAGATTCATTTTAATATTGTGACATGTTGAGCTATGGATGACGCCCCTCCCCCCCGCCAGCCGTGATGCCTCGACGAGCGAAGCCGAAGTGAGCCGAAGTTAGCCGAGTCCTAGCATCCTGGTCGCTATGCAACGCGAGTCAACAGCGATGACGTCACAAAGGGTACCGCGGGTTGCTAGGCAGCGCGGGTAACCAGAATTGCGAGAGACGACGGTAGTAACAGCGGTTACTACCGCTAGCCTTGCTAGCAACACAGCGCCAGGCAACAAGGGTGCTTATTACGTGGCCGTTTTCTGTATTGTCCGATCGAGGCTACATGAGGAGCAGCGAAGGCTATTCACAGTTAGTCCTCGAGCTACCTCCGAGTTAGTTCTGAGTTAGCCAGCAACCAGTCAGTTGCATTCTGGAATTTGAAGTGTAGTATTTGTGATACTGCAGATAGCAGTAATTGTGAATCTGTAATTTGGGTGATTTTAAGTGCGAATGTGGAATAAAATTCGCTATATCAAATACGGCGTGAAGTTATTTGTCGCGTTATACACACAACACGCGACAACTGGTGTCAGAAGTGGGATTTGGACTTACACACGTGACCAACGAGCTTCGAACTCAAGACACGTGACAATTTGGTGTCAGAATTTTTACGAACTTAAACACGCCTGACAAATAATTGGATTATTGTGCATCAAGTATCTTACTGCTACAAAATGGAGAAACAAGATTTGCAACGAATAATGGAAATGCTGAAAGAGATAAAGGTTGACAGAGAAGAAACGGAGGCAAATAGGAGTAAAGACAAAGAAGATTTGATGGCCAAATTAGACTCCTATCAAGAAAAGGCGGAAGAAAATAAAAAAAAAGACAGAGAAGATTTCCTGGCGAGATTAGAATTCAATCAAGAAAAGGCAGATAGCATGCTGACGAAATTAGACGCCGACTTCAATGCCTGGCAGGAAGAGACGTTGGCCTGCCCAGTGGACACGATACCTGCGACGGCACAACAAGAAGAGGTTCCCATAGTGATACCGGTCGGAGTGACGATGGCCTGCCAAGAAAGGGAGGCACATCCAGAAGAAGAAGAGCCGACTTCAGCGAACAGGAAACCTGAGGCGGCAGAACTACGAGAGGTACCCGTACAAGATGCCGAAGTAATGCCGGTCGGAGAACCGA